AAACCAGCATAACCAAGGGTGGGGAAGCACCTGATAAGGCCCGCGCTGCTGCCGCGGGTGCTGCTGTTTCAGGGCATCCTCCTTTTGCTGCTGAGTCTGGCCACTGTGTGGACTGTACTGCTACCCATCCCTCCAGCGCCCTGGGGAGTAGTTTCTGTGATACTTCCCAGAGATCCTCACACCCCGCTGCTACAACTGCCACCTCTGATTCTGTCGCCGCTACAACCTTAGCCATTTCTTCCACCGACTTATTTGTACATGCCGCCGCCGCTGCTGCTGCTGCTGGTCCAGCCACTTCTGTCAGCGCACGGGGAAGGAGTTACACACACACAGGGCACAAATCCCCACACACTCTCCAGTCAGCCTACCCCTTCCGCTCACCCCAGCCTTCCTTCTCCTTTCCTGATTCTCCTGCTGGCGGTGCTGGTGGTAACCCTAGCCCTGATCACAGCAGCAGTGGTGGTGAAAGTGATGGGGACACCAGCAGTGGGAGTAAAACGGATGGGTTTCGTTTGCCAGTCACTGCGTCTTCTAGTGGCAGCAGCGACAGGAGCGGCAGCAGCAGCAGCAGTTTGGGCAGCAAAGGCTTGCTTATACTTGCACATAGGGACCAGGTGCAAGTGTGTGACAGTAAGGAGAAGGGTCCAAAAAAGTGTCGGTATGGGTCCACGCATGCGATTGATGAGAAAGTGAATTTCCAAGGAGGTGTGGAGATGGGGCTGCTTGAGCAGCAGCATGATAAGCAACAGCAGAAGCACAGCGAGAAGCGGACCTTCTTCAGTAAGTTCAATCAGTCCAAGGCGATGCTTCACTTCTAAGTGGTTTTTCTATGCCCTGTGACAGATACTGCTATAGATGTACATTGCAATGCTTGATTGACATGGATTGTGATTGCATGGTTGCTCTTGCGGTATGTTGGATTTTTGCGGGTTGTTTACGAGCACGCACTGGGTTAATCAGGGTAGAGTACCCAGACCCCCAGACCCAACATCACACAAATGAGAGGAGCTGTAGTTCAGGCTACCTACATCCTACTAAGTCCACATTCTCATGATATTAACGTAGCTTGAAGAGCATCGATTACTTGAAGACCAACCCTCATACACATTGTGAGATTCTTGTGTCCTCATAGGAGTGCTGTATTTTATTTTGTTATGAGAGCATTCTATTATGTTCTGAGATTGTTACGATTCGGCTATTGTCTTGATCGGATTCTGAAGCGACATTTTTTTTAAAGAGGACAAGGTAGGTGACAAATATTAGCGTCAGTGTAACCCTGTTTTCTCGAAACCTTGGAGTTTCGAGGAGACAACTTGGTCACATGGGTTCAACGCCAGGCACTCTCAATCCATGAAAGTGCTATTTCACAAACCACCCCATCGGTTCCACACGAACTCTATTACTAAAGAGTTAATATAACAAGACTCGACGTTAACGTCGGAAGGGTTGCGTAGAAATTATATTCCTATCGTTTGCAAAAGGAGTTGTATGAAAAATGCATCTTAACAGAAATGTTCAGGTGTCTATAGTGGGTATTATTTCACGATGATGACCTGTTCTGCTTGTGACTCGAATGTGTCAGCAGGTGATTGTTTCACGCGATTCACCAGATGTTGTCACGTGACACTACCTTCCAAACTGAAGGTTCTGCTTTTTGGGGTTGCGGAGCAACCTATTGTAATCGATTGGAATTGATTATTTTTTTCAAGAATTAAATTTTCTTGAAAAAAAAATCACTAGGTAGAAAATGCAGAATAATCTGGATAAGTTTGATGCACACATCCTTAGTAATTGCTCCATATTTGTTAGTGGACTACTGCACATTTATCAGTAACGCAGAATCTATTTTCTACATTTTCGTATTTTCAAAATTGGAAATGACAGAAAAAATCGGAGAAACACAATGACCGTACCGAACAAACGATCATTGCATTTCGAAATTTCAATATACCGTGCGCGGAAACATATTCACGGAACGAGCCGATGAATATGCTTTTTTTTTTCGGAAAATGAAAATTTGATGTACCGGTACAAAAAATTTAGGAAAATCAAAATATATACTACCGCTTCCCCAGCCTAGCATGGGGGGGAAGACAATAGTATAGACGTTGAAAAAGCAAATGGATATAAGCAATACAATCTGCAAATCTCGAAGAAAAATCTACACCGATCAAGTCCAGCTCAAAATGGCTTCACTTTGATAGTGATACACCACTGAACCTTTTGTGACGATGACCGGCAAGATTTCTCTTTGAAACGAGCAGACATGCATTACTAGGGAATGAGCAGCAGCATTTGACGAACATCAAAATGGAAAAAAATGCATGACGTTTAACAATTATTGAGGTTAATAGACACACAACCCTATTGCATTATGAGTTGTACAAGATGCTCCCACCAAACATCTGCAATCAGAAAGCGTAACAAGCAAACAACTGATGTATAAACAGGAAAGAAAGCAGGGAAACAGAAAAGGAGGGAAGGAATGTAGAAAAGGGACAGGAATGAATGAAGGTAAACAGGTAAACAAGAAAGGAAGGACAGAATGTAAACAGATAAAGACGAAAGGAAGATGTTAAAGTAAACAGGCAAGGGCGAAAGGAAGGAAGGTAAACATGTAAGGAAGGAAGGGAAAAGGGTAACAAGGGAGGAAGGAAGGTAACCAGGTAAGAAAAGAAGGAAGGTAAACAGGAAGGAAAGAAGAAAGGAAGGTAAATGAGGAAGAAATGAACGTAAATATGAAGGACAAAAAGGAATGAGACAATATGGAATTGATGGATAAGATAGTTGGAGCGAATAGAGGAAACAAGAGGAGATAGTGGAAGCAGAGAGGGAAGGATGTTCAGGTGCGAATCAAACATAAGCAGAAAACAATGAATGGGCCAGCAAAGAAAACATAAGTATGAGGGTAGAGTATTCATGCAAATACAGGAATGAAGGTGAAAATGGTAAAAGAAACATAAATTAAGAAACAACTACCGGCACTTAAGAGTTATAAGCTGAATACTTCACTTCCAACACATTGAATGTGACAATGTAAGAATAAACCAGAAATATATTCCTTCTTAAGTTGGAGACTATCTTTGATGAAATTGCTCTTTTAAGATCTAACTTCCACAGCGTTAAACAAAGAAAATTCTTAGCACAATAGTTCAGTATTGAGAAGAAATGAAGGAGCAGGATGAGAATGAGGAGAGGAACGCAGAGAAAAGGAAGTGACGGGAAAAATAGTAAGGCAAGTAGAATAAAAGGGAAGTAGAAACATCTCGATCACGTTTACTATGACAAGCAGAAGTGAAAATCGGCTAGAGACTTGCGTACAAAACGGAATTAAAGAAAGCGGCGGAGAAGACAAGAGCACGGAGACATGTGAATCGACTATGTTAATGGACATTAGGAAGTCTAGGGTAGTGTTTAAGGCTCACCTGAGACAAGGCGAAAGTAGGAGGTGTGGGAGTAGGAAGAGTAGTTAGAGCAGCGTGACAGTTGGAGCAAAGTGACACCAGGAAAAGGAATTACGAAACCCTAACCAGATTTGCCAATTTCCGCGTTGTTATTTGTCTGATTAAGATTTTAGGGAAAACACGTCAGCTAATTTAGGACAACTGTTTTCGTAAGTCTGCTTATCCAGATGGTCTTAAGATCGATTCCCGAAAATGATAATAGATATCCATTTCGTCACAAACTGCTAGATTGAGTTCCATACACTACTGATTTTGGTGTTGACTGCTAGAAGAACACAAAGCTGTTTATGTTTCATCATTTTCACCCTACAGTAAGTACCATTTCCCCAAATTTTGACACCAAACCTCGTGCTATCATTTTTTTGTTTGTATTGTAGCACAAAATAGTCATATAATATCTCAAAGTTAGTCTCTAAGTGAACGTGGACACATAATAAATCATCAATAATGCATAGCAATATCAAGTACGCATTAGTACCGAAAGCTCCGCAACCCTAAGACGATTTCGTCGCCTCTTGTTTCCTTTTTTGCTTGATGAAAATTGCCCAAGCGTTGTTTTTTGTTACGAAATTCACATGATCGTGCTGTTGTTCTGAAGTACTGTATAGACTTTGGTGCCTCGCTCTGCCCCAGCGAAAGTTTTGTCCACACCCACCGAACACCCCTCTTCCTCCCCTTGTTCGTTCTTCCGAATTCGACTCTCAACTGAGTTGCTCCTACTCCATAGTCTCTCGAATGTGAGAGACTTTTCTTGCGTTTTCCTCCCAACCCGCAGCCGCCTCTCCCTCCCATCCCGCAGCCGCATCTCCCTCCAATCCCGCCATCGCCTCTCCCTCCTTCCCAGCCGCCGTCGCCGCTTCTTCCCATCCCGCCATCGCCTCGCCCTCCTCCCCGCCGTCGCCTCTCCCTCCTCCCCGCCGTCGCCTCTCCCTCCTCCCAGCCGTCGCCTCTCCCTCCTCCCCGCCGTCGCCTCTCCCTCCTCCCCGCCGTCGCCTCTCCCTCCTCCCCGCCGTCGCCTCTCCCTCCTCCCCGCCGTCGCCTCTCCCTCCTCCCCGCCGTCGCCTCTCCCTCCTCCCCGCCATCGCCACTCCTCCCATCCCGCCATCTCCACTATCTCCCACCCCTCCGTTGCCACTCACCCGCCGCCGCCACTCCCTCCTATCCCGCGGCCGCCTCTCCCTCCTCCCCGCCATCGCCTCTCCTTTCCTCCCCGCCGTCGCCTCTCCTTTCCTCCCCGCCGTCGCCTTCCCTTTCTCTCCGCCGTCGCCTCTCCCTCCTCCCCGCCGTCGCCTCTCCTTTCCTCCCCGCCGTCGCCTCTCCTTTCCTCCCCGCCGTCGCCTCTCCTTTCCTCCCCGCCGTCGCCTTTCCTTTCTCCCCGCCGTCGCCTCTCCCTCCTCCGCGCCGTCGCCTTTGTTCCTCCCCGCCGTCGCCGGAGCACGAGCGCAAGCGCGAGTGTTGGTGCGCGAGCGCGGGTTGGTGCGCCAGCGCGGGTTAATTTCTGAAACACCGTGATTATCAGGTGCGTTCCTGGTCCTTTCATCCTCCCTTCCCCCACTGAATTCTCCCCCCTCCTCCTTCGCCCCCTCCCCTCTTTTTTGTTTTCTTTGCTCTCTTCGTAAAGTTTGTGTGTCGATTGGTCTCCTCTTGCATTGCACTTTCATTCGAAGAAGGGGAGAGACGGAGCGCGAGGGAGAGCATGTACACGGGAGCGAACACGCAGGAGAGCGCGCGTGAGAGTGCGCGTGAGAGCGCGCGTGAGAGTGCGCGTGAGGGAGAGCGTGAGAGAGCGCGTGAGAGAGTGCGTGAGGGAGCGCGTGAGAGAGCGCGTGCGCGTGAGAGTGCTCGTGAGAGTGCGTGTGAGAGGGCGCATGCGCGTGAGAGTGTTCGTGAGAGAGCGCGTGAGAGAGCGCGTGAGAGAGTGGTGAGAGAGCGCGTGAGAGAGTGGTGAGAGAGCGCGTGAGAGAGCGCATGCGCGTGAGAGAGCGCGTGCGCGTGAGAGAGCTCGTGCGCGTGAGAGTGCACGTGAGAGTGCGCGTGAGAGTGCGAGTGAGAGTGCGCGTGAGAGAGCGCGTGAGAGAGCGCGTGAGTGAGTGCGTGAGAGAGAGCACGTGAGAGAGCACGTGGGAGAGCGCGTGAGAGAGCGCGTGAGAGAGCGTGTGAGAGTGCTCGTGAGAGTGCGCGTGAGAGAGCGTGTGAGAGAGCGCATGCGCGTAAGAGAGCGTGTGTGCGTGAGAGAGCGCGTGCGAGTGAGAGTGCGCGTGCGAGTGAGAGAGCGCAGCAGCAGCAGCAGCAGCAGCAGCAGCAGCAGCAGCAGCAGCAGCAGCAGCAGCAGCAGCAGCAGCAGCAGCAGCAGCAGCAGCAGCAGCAGCAGCAGCAGCAGCAGCAGCAGCAGCAGCAGCAGCAGCAGCAGCAGCAGCAGCAGCAGCAGCAGCAGCAGCAGCAGCAGCAGCAGCAGCAGCAGCAGCAGCAGCAGCAGCAGCAGCAGCAGCAGCAGCAGCAGCAGCAGCAGCAGCAGCAGCAGCAGCAGCAGCAGCAGCAGCAGCAGCAGCAGCAGCAGCAGCAGCAGCAGCAGCAGCAGCAGCAGCAGCAGCAGCAGCAGCAGCAGCAGCAGCAGCAGCAGCAGCAGCAGCATGAAGCCAAAGATTTGGTTCGGGGGGGATCCGTCCCCTTCTCGGGTCCTCACGAACGAAAGATTGTCCGCCAGATTGCTCACGCGCGCGATCATCTAGAACGGATCATGTTTTCGTGTGGAACTGGGGAGACTCTTAGCGAGGAGGCTGATAGTGGGGATACGAACTGGGAATCCAACGTGTGGCTGCGAGTTTCGGCCGAAGCCAAAGATTTGATTCTCGGCATGCTGGAGATTGAGCCTGCCGCCCGCTTGTCAATTAACGATGTCGTTACCCACCCGTGGCTGAACGCGAAAGATACCACCAGCCGACGGGGAATCCGCGGACCCATGAAGTGCGCTGGTGGGTTGGGTAGCGTTTGCGAAACGGACGCTGGCGGTGATGAATTCGCGGAGATGAGCGCCGGGAGGGTAAGAGGCAGCAGTAGTCGCACTCCAGCAGGCGAATCTTCAGATTTTCTGCCTCGGCTGCAACGGAGGAACACTTTTTCCGCGTCTTTGGACCGATCTAAGAGCACACTGATTGGCTCGCGTGTTGTAGACTCGGCTGAACTGCTGAAAAGCGTGAGCTCAGTTTCCAAAGCATCCGATACTGTCAACTCCGGATTCGTTACAAGCTCGAATTCGAAGAACATGAGAGGTGGAAAGCTTTTGCGGACAATCAGCCGGAGTGTAAGCAACCTCGCGGATCTCATGAGTCTCGCATCTGGTAACCGTTACAGAAGTACTGGTGGTAGTGTCAGCTACAGTGAATTGGACATCAATTCAGTCAGCTACAGGGATAACGACACAGACGATAATATTGGCAGCAGCAGCAGCAGCACGACTGAGGCAGGAGCAGCAGATGGTCATGATCTGGGATCTTTCTCATCACCTTCCTCACCACCACTTCAAGATGAGCTCACAGAGGAGCAGGCAGAGGCAAGCACAGCTGAAGCAGAAGCAGAAGCATCAAAGTACAGATTTTCCTTTCATACACCTGAAGGACTGGGACCAGGACAGGGAGTGATTGCGCTAGGTCTCCGACACAAAACCAGCATAACCAAGGGTGGGGAAGCACCTGATAAGGCCCGCGCTGCTGCCGCGGGTGCTGCTGTTTCAGGGCATCCTCCTTTTGCTGCTGAGTCTGGCCACTGTGTGGACTGTACTGCTACCCATCCCTCCAGCGCCCTGGGGAGTAGTTTCTGTGATACTTCCCAGAGATCCTCACACCCCGCTGCTACAACTGCCACCTCTGATTCTGTCGCCGCTACAACCTTAGCCATTTCTTCCACCGACTTATTTGTACATGCCGCCGCCGCTGCTGCTGCTGCTGGTCCAGCCACTTCTGTCAGCGCACGGGGAAGGAGTTACACACACACAGGGCACAAATCCCCACACACTCTCCAGTCAGCCTACCCCTTCCGCTCACCCCAGCCTTCCTTCTCCTTTCCTGATTCTCCTGCTGGCGGTGCTGGTGGTAACCCTAGCCCTGATCACAGCAGCAGTGGTGGTGAAAGTGATGGGGACACCAGCAGTGGGAGTAAAACGGATGGGTTTCGTTTGCCAGTCACTGCGTCTTCTAGTGGCAGCAGCGACAGGAGCGGCAGCAGCAGCAGCAGTTTGGGCAGCAAAGGCTTGCTTATACTTGCACATAGGGACCAGGTGCAAGTGTGTGACAGTAAGGAGAAGGGTCCAAAAAAGTGTCGGTATGGGTCCACGCATGCGATTGATGAGAAAGTGAATTTCCAAGGAGGTGTGGAGATGGGGCTGCTTGAGCAGCAGCATGATAAGCAACAGCAGAAGCACAGCGAGAAGCGGACCTTCTTCAGTAAGTTCAATCAGTCCAAGGCGATGCTTCACTTCTAAGTGGTTTTTCTATGCCCTGTGACAGATACTGCTATAGATGTACATTGCAATGCTTGATTGACATGGATTGTGATTGCATGGTTGCTCTTGCGGTATGTTGGATTTTTGCGGGTTGTTTACGAGCACGCACTGGGTTAATCAGGGTAGAGTACCCAGACCCCCAGACCCAACATCACACAAATGAGAGGAGCTGTAGTTCAGGCTACCTACATCCTACTAAGTCCACATTCTCATGATATTAACGTAGCTTGAAGAGCATCGATTACTTGAAGACCAACCCTCATACACATTGTGAGATTCTTGTGTCCTCATAGGAGTGCTGTATTTTATTTTGTTATGAGAGCATTCTATTATGTTCTGAGATTGTTACGATTCGGCTATTGTCTTGATCGGATTCTGAAGCGACATTTTTTTTAAAGAGGACAAGGTAGGTGACAAATATTAGCGTCAGTGTAACCCTGTTTTCTCGAAACCTTGGAGTTTCGAGGAGACAACTTGGTCACATGGGTTCAACGCCAGGCACTCTCAATCCATGAAAGTGCTATTTCACAAACCACCCCATCGGTTCCACACGAACTCTATTACTAAAGAGTTAATATAACAAGACTCGACGTTAACGTCGGAAGGGTTGCGTAGAAATTATATTCCTATCGTTTGCAAAAGGAGTTGTATGAAAAATGCATCTTAACAGAAATGTTCAGGTGTCTATAGTGGGTATTATTTCACGATGATGACCTGTTCTGCTTGTGACTCGAATGTGTCAGCAGGTGATTGTTTCACGCGATTCACCAGATGTTGTCACGTGACACTACCTTCCAAACTGAAGGTTCTGCTTTTTGGGGTTGCGGAGCAACCTATTGTAATCGATTGGAATTGATTATTTTTTTCAAGAATTAAATTTTCTTGAAAAAAAAATCACTAGGTAGAAAATGCAGAATAATCTGGATAAGTTTGATGCACACATCCTTAGTAATTGCTCCATATTTGTTAGTGGACTACTGCACATTTATCAGTAACGCAGAATCTATTTTCTACATTTTCGTATTTTCAAAATTGGAAATGACAGAAAAAATCGGAGAAACACAATGACCGTACCGAACAAACGATCATTGCATTTCGAAATTTCAATATACCGTGCGCGGAAACATATTCACGGAACGAGCCGATGAATATGCTTTTTTTTTTCGGAAAATGAAAATTTGATGTACCGGTACAAAAAATTTAGGAAAATCAAAATATATACTACCGCTTCCCCAGCCTAGCATGGGGGGGAAGACAATAGTATAGACGTTGAAAAAGCAAATGGATATAAGCAATACAATCTGCAAATCTCGAAGAAAAATCTACACCGATCAAGTCCAGCTCAAAATGGCTTCACTTTGATAGTGATACACCACTGAACCTTTTGTGACGATGACCGGCAAGATTTCTCTTTGAAACGAGCAGACATGCATTACTAGGGAATGAGCAGCAGCATTTGACGAACATCAAAATGGAAAAAAATGCATGACGTTTAACAATTATTGAGGTTAATAGACACACAACCCTATTGCATTATGAGTTGTACAAGATGCTCCCACCAAACATCTGCAATCAGAAAGCGTAACAAGCAAACAACTGATGTATAAACAGGAAAGAAAGCAGGGAAACAGAAAAGGAGGGAAGGAATGTAGAAAAGGGACAGGAATGAATGAAGGTAAACAGGTAAACAAGAAAGGAAGGACAGAATGTAAACAGATAAAGACGAAAGGAAGATGTTAAAGTAAACAGGCAAGGGCGAAAGGAAGGAAGGTAAACATGTAAGGAAGGAAGGGAAAAGGGTAACAAGGGAGGAAGGAAGGTAACCAGGTAAGAAAAGAAGGAAGGTAAACAGGAAGGAAAGAAGAAAGGAAGGTAAATGAGGAAGAAATGAACGTAAATATGAAGGACAAAAAGGAATGAGACAATATGGAATTGATGGATAAGATAGTTGGAGCGAATAGAGGAAACAAGAGGAGATAGTGGAAGCAGAGAGGGAAGGATGTTCAGGTGCGAATCAAACATAAGCAGAAAACAATGAATGGGCCAGCAAAGAAAACATAAGTATGAGGGTAGAGTATTCATGCAAATACAGGAATGAAGGTGAAAATGGTAAAAGAAACATAAATTAAGAAACAACTACCGGCACTTAAGAGTTATAAGCTGAATACTTCACTTCCAACACATTGAATGTGACAATGTAAGAATAAACCAGAAATATATTCCTTCTTAAGTTGGAGACTATCTTTGATGAAATTGCTCTTTTAAGATCTAACTTCCACAGCGTTAAACAAAGAAAATTCTTAGCACAATAGTTCAGTATTGAGAAGAAATGAAGGAGCAGGATGAGAATGAGGAGAGGAACGCAGAGAAAAGGAAGTGACGGGAAAAATAGTAAGGCAAGTAGAATAAAAGGGAAGTAGAAACATCTCGATCACGTTTACTATGACAAGCAGAAGTGAAAATCGGCTAGAGACTTGCGTACAAAACGGAATTAAAGAAAGCGGCGGAGAAGACAAGAGCACGGAGACATGTGAATCGACTATGTTAATGGACATTAGGAAGTCTAGGGTAGTGTTTAAGGCTCACCTGAGACAAGGCGAAAGTAGGAGGTGTGGGAGTAGGAAGAGTAGTTAGAGCAGCGTGACAGTTGGAGCAAAGTGACACCAGGAAAAGGAATTACGAAACCCTAACCAGATTTGCCAATTTCCGCGTTGTTATTTGTCTGATTAAGATTTTAGGGAAAACACGTCAGCTAATTTAGGACAACTGTTTTCGTAAGTCTGCTTATCCAGATGGTCTTAAGATCGATTCCCGAAAATGATAATAGATATCCATTTCGTCACAAACTGCTAGATTGAGTTCCATACACTACTGATTTTGGTGTTGACTGCTAGAAGAACACAAAGCTGTTTATGTTTCATCATTTTCACCCTACAGTAAGTACCATTTCCCCAAATTTTGACACCAAACCTCGTGCTATCATTTTTTTGTTTGTATTGTAGCACAAAATAGTCATATAATATCTCAAAGTTAGTCTCTAAGTGAACGTGGACACATAATAAATCATCAATAATGCATAGCAATATCAAGTACGCATTAGTACCGAAAGCTCCGCAACCCTAAGACGATTTCGTCGCCTCTTGTTTCCTTTTTTGCTTGATGAAAATTGCCCAAGCGTTGTTTTTTGTTACGAAATTCACATGATCGTGCTGTTGTTCTGAAGTACTGTATAGACTTTGGTGCCTCGCTCTGCCCCAGCGAAAGTTTTGTCCACACCCACCGAACACCCCTCTTCCTCCCCTTGTTCGTTCTTCCGAATTCGACTCTCAACTGAGTTGCTCCTACTCCATAGTCTCTCGAATGTGAGAGACTTTTCTTGCGTTTTCCTCCCAACCCGCAGCCGCCTCTCCCTCCCATCCCGCAGCCGCATCTCCCTCCAATCCCGCCATCGCCTCTCCCTCCTTCCCAGCCGCCGTCGCCGCTTCTTCCCATCCCGCCATCGCCTCGCCCTCCTCCCCGCCGTCGCCTCTCCCTCCTCCCCGCCGTCGCCTCTCCCTCCTCCCAGCCGTCGCCTCTCCCTCCTCCCCGCCGTCGCCTCTCCCTCCTCCCCGCCGTCGCCTCTCCCTCCTCCCCGCCGTCGCCTCTCCCTCCTCCCCGCCGTCGCCTCTCCCTCCTCCCCGCCGTCGCCTCTCCCTCCTCCCCGCCATCGCCACTCCTCCCATCCCGCCATCTCCACTATCTCCCACCCCTCCGTTGCCACTCACCCGCCGCCGCCACTCCCTCCTATCCCGCGGCCGCCTCTCCCTCCTCCCCGCCATCGCCTCTCCTTTCCTCCCCGCCGTCGCCTCTCCTTTCCTCCCCGCCGTCGCCTTCCCTTTCTCTCCGCCGTCGCCTCTCCCTCCTCCCCGCCGTCGCCTCTCCTTTCCTCCCCGCCGTCGCCTCTCCTTTCCTCCCCGCCGTCGCCTCTCCTTTCCTCCCCGCCGTCGCCTTTCCTTTCTCCCCGCCGTCGCCTCTCCCTCCTCCGCGCCGTCGCCTTTGTTCCTCCCCGCCGTCGCCGGAGCACGAGCGCAAGCGCGAGTGTTGGTGCGCGAGCGCGGGTTGGTGCGCCAGCGCGGGTTAATTTCTGAAACACCGTGATTATCAGGTGCGTTCCTGGTCCTTTCATCCTCCCTTCCCCCACTGAATTCTCCCCCCTCCTCCTTCGCCCCCTCCCCTCTTTTTTGTTTTCTTTGCTCTCTTCGTAAAGTTTGTGTGTCGATTGGTCTCCTCTTGCATTGCACTTTCATTCGAAGAAGGGGAGAGACGGAGCGCGAGGGAGAGCATGTACACGGGAGCGAACACGCAGGAGAGCGCGCGTGAGAGTGCGCGTGAGAGCGCGCGTGAGAGTGCGCGTGAGGGAGAGCGTGAGAGAGCGCGTGAGAGAGTGCGTGAGGGAGCGCGTGAGAGAGCGCGTGCGCGTGAGAGTGCTCGTGAGAGTGCGTGTGAGAGGGCGCATGCGCGTGAGAGTGTTCGTGAGAGAGCGCGTGAGAGAGCGCGTGAGAGAGTGGTGAGAGAGCGCGTGAGAGAGTGGTGAGAGAGCGCGTGAGAGAGCGCATGCGCGTGAGAGAGCGCGTGCGCGTGAGAGAGCTCGTGCGCGTGAGAGTGCACGTGAGAGTGCGCGTGAGAGTGCGAGTGAGAGTGCGCGTGAGAGAGCGCGTGAGAGAGCGCGTGAGTGAGTGCGTGAGAGAGAGCACGTGAGAGAGCACGTGGGAGAGCGCGTGAGAGAGCGCGTGAGAGAGCGTGTGAGAGTGCTCGTGAGAGTGCGCGTGAGAGAGCGTGTGAGAGAGCGCATGCGCGTAAGAGAGCGTGTGTGCGTGAGAGAGCGCGTGCGAGTGAGAGTGCGCGTGCGAGTGAGAGAGCGCATGCGCGTGAGAGAGCGCGTGCGCGTGATAGTGCACGTGAGAGTGCGCGTGATGCGCGCGACAGAGCGCGTGAGAGAGCGCGTGAGTGAGTGCGTGAGAGAGAGCGCGTGAGGGAGCGCGTGAGAGAGCGCGTGAGACGCGTGAGAGAGCAAGTGAGAGAGCAAGTGAGACGCGTGAGAGAGTGCATGAGAGTGCGCGTGAGAGAGCGCGTGAGAGAGCGCGTGAACACGCTGGGGCGTAGGCACTAGCATCTATTCTGTTGGTGCTCGGGCAACTGGGGCTACTTATGCAAATGAGTGTCGCTTTCTGCACTAGGGCTTAGAGTGCTGGCTTCTAAGGTGTTGGCAATCAAACGCTCGTCTAGGCTGCTGGCAACTAGCAAGCAAGTGCCTAGCACACTTGCGCAGCGGGCTCTAACGCTTGGGCGCTGGCACCTAGTGTGCTGAGCCCTGTTGTGCTCGTGCCTGAAGTGCTAGCGTCATGGCCTTTGGCGCCTAGCCACCAACCCTGGGACGCTCGCTGCTTAAGGCGGGTGGGTGCATTGCAGCGCGCTGGCGCATGCGCTGCCACCTTGTGCAATGCATGTGAGGTGTACATTTCTTTTTTGGCTTTCTTATGCAACGAGGTTGATTTGTGTTTCTTGCTTGGCCTCGTGTAAGAGCATGTGAGTGGTAGTATCTAGTTTTTGCTTTCTTTTACACACTCTGAACATACACCGTTGTGTGTTGTTGCTTTCTCTGTTTTTGCTTTCTTGTGCAGGGCGTGTGTGTGTTGACTTCTCTGTTTTTGCTTTGTGCAGGGCGTGTGTGTGTTGACTTCTCTGATTTTGCTTTGTGCAGGGCGTGTGTATGTTGACTTCTCTGTTTTTTCTTTGTGCAGGGCGTGTGTGTGTTGACTTCTCTGTTTTTGCTGTGTGCAGGGCGTGTGCGTGTTGACTTCCCTGTTTTTACTTTCTTGTGCAGGGCGTATGAGAAGCATTCTTGCTTGAAAGAAAGGGAGGGGTTTCTTGCCAGAGAAAAGGAAGGGAAAGGAAGGCGGACAAAAAGGGTAGTTTGCAGGGGGAAAGGGAGATGATAGAGGAGGGAGGGAGGGGAAGGGACATGTTAGCAATCAATGGTACATAGCTGAACTTATTTGGCACTTGCTATGTTTGCGTGTTCATTCATTCTCTGTTTCCTTTTTGTGTGTGTGATGTGATGTGAGTGTCTGTGTGTGTTTGTGTGATGTATATGTGTAGTCTTGCGTGTGTGTTCCGTATGTGATTCTTTGTGTCAGTTGCCGTACTGTCTGTTTCGAGGTGTGGTGTTAAGTGACTCGTGCTTGCAGCTGAGGTTGTGATCGTCGGTGGGGCAGCTTTGCTCGCCTCTTCCGTACCGGATCAATCTTTGCTGCAACATTGATTCATCTAGCACTCACTTTCGGGCATTCCTATATTTTTATTTGTTGTCGTTGTTCTCATGTGGACATTCGTGTTCGTTTCAGGGCGGTGTGTTAAATTGCTTCATGTATGCAACTGCGACTGTGATTGTCGGTGGGGTAACTTTGCTCGCCCCTTCCGTACCAGATCAATTGCTGTTGCATGCACCATAGATGCATTTTAGCATGCACGATTGTTTGTTTTGAACTAGTTCGTGGGTGTGGTAGAGCGCGGTCCTTCGTGTTTGTGAGCGTTCACGTTTGGTAGTGCGTGAATTATTGTCCAATTATTCCATTCGCCGTACTTATCGACGATTATGGATGATTGGACACATTTGGTTTCACCCAGGGTAACTTACGTGAACAGTGTTTCCTCCAGAAATTTTGGAGGGAAAAAATCACTGTTCATGTCAGTTCCCCGAAAAGTGAAACCAAATGTACACCCTCATTCTCACATTTCTCACCGTTTTAAGCACTGGCTACAGTGTTTGGACGTAGCGGGCTGGTGCGATAACTCGGTGCGGGCAAAGTCGCACGACGTGACGAACAAGCCTCGGCCCACCGTAAACCGTTTTCCCTGAATAACTGTCTTAACCGTTCAAAATATACCAGTACCATTCTAGAACGTATTCAAACTTGACTAAACGCCTTTGGTCAAATTGTCACTATAACGTATGTGATAGGACCTTCTTTGGTCCGGTGCGGCTACACTAAGCGTCTCGGTCAGTATAACATATGCCAGTCTATCGAGAATGAGGGTGTATAAGGTTGCTACGCAACCCAATGACTTACTGGGCTTGTTGTTCTCTTTCGTCGTTCTCCGACTTTGTAGTCCGGGACAAACACCCTGCAAAGCTTTGACCTAGCATCAACTAGGACAGCCTGTCGTTCTCGAATGGTGCCAATACACCCAGGTCAACAGACGCAGGTAACAGTTGCACCCACACGCAATACAAGGTGTCAGGGTAGACGCTTTGTCAGCCCTTTCTTGTCGGCCGTTAGCGGGAGGAATGGCAAACAGACAGCTAACCGGCAAAGATGCCGTCCTCGCGAAAAAAATGATACCTTTTGCGGTCACAGCTTTTGGATCCAACAAATATTATTTGCTCGCAGCAACTGGGCGGATCCCCAAGGCAACGTGGATTTCTGACGGTCTCTCGAAAATCACCGGCTAAAACGCCGGCCATGTGTGTCAGTCCGTCTATTGCCCGTTTGGAGGTCGGCAAAATAGCCGGCTGTAATGATTATTATCCCGTCTAGTCGTTCATTAGTTTGTCGGGTTTTGTTGAAACCTGACGGCGTCGTTTACTGTACATGCTGCCATTGGCCACAACTCTTACCACAGGTGTCCAGCTGTGAGCCTTGCGTTGGGACCCGAGGCGAGAAGGAAATCGTGGGGATTGGCCAGAGATGACGGACGTGGTCGCCAGAGATGCCGCGTGACCTGCCCGAAAAATTGAGGCAGCCGTTAACTTACTGTGCACTGCCCGTGAATGTTCCTGGACGTGTATCTCTGCCAGCGGCGACAGTGGCGGAAACACCATATCGTCAACCACATACAGACAGGTTCGATCACACGTTACAGTCAAAAACAAATTTTCCCTGAAGTCGACCGCCTTCGCCCTCAGTGGTTCATGCTCAAATAGTGCATCGGTTGGCTTTCTTGGATCACTTCTCTCAACCTTCTTCCATTTTCTCCGGCTAGTCGAGCCAACATTCACCGTTTCTGCTAGCACTACCAGCGGTTACTTCTCCGAATAGAACTTGCACACGGGCAAAGAATAGCAGACGGCACACGGTAATGAGATAGCACAGAATCTCAGCCTGACTTCAACAAATTTCGCTTCTAGGAAACTCAGAAAATGAATTCAAACTCCAGCGATCATAGCGATGACCCGCCGGCGGCAGCAGAAGGATTGGCGGACTCGACGGCGATCAGGGAATGGCGCGATCGGCAGAAATTGGTGGAAATCGTCGCGAAGGACGGCCATCACTGGCTCAAGTACGGAGAAAAGCCTCTTATGAGAACCGGAATCATCAGGTAAGCAAGTCTGATTCTAAAATGTATGAGATTTCAAGTTCAATGAAGGACATTATTTGTTTCTATTCCGGAATCAGAGTCTGGTGGTAGACATGTTTCTTTGGTTTGAACGACATTTTCGGAACCCGAGCCGGAACCCAACCATTGACGAATGGTTGTATTGCTAGTGGTTAGTATTGTTGTTTTCTGTGTCTCAGGACGACACTAACTGGCTTCGTTCCGCATTTTTGCTTCTTTTTATTTGGTTTTGAGTGTTTTTTTTCCCTTTTGTTGTGTTTTTTTTTTTTTTTTTTTTACACAGGGCATATTATCGCTGTGGGTACACTAGTAAGGGAGCGGGCTGCCCGGCCAAAAAGACCATCGACCGCAACCCAGAGGCAGTGGTAACAGACGAGAACGTGCAGGTCTCTTACACCAACAAACACAACCACCAAGGCCAGCCTCAGGCGGCAATCGCGGGCGGATCGACTCAGACGGCTGGACATGAGACCGAGAAGCCAAGGAAAGCAGATTCTGGTAGTACTAGGGAGATGGATGCTGCATCAGGAGTGGCGGCACCAGCTGCGGCTGTTGAACTCCCCGCTTTATCCCGTGCTGCTTCCGCTCACACCGCCGCTGCCCAACCAGGGATCTCCATGTCAGCAGCTTGCCATGAAATTCCAGATCTGGATCAAAGAATGTCGGCTCAGGAAGGTAGTGGCAGCGTTCATGGGGGGAGAGTTTCTAAAGGTGGGGTTTTTGAGCCGCTGATTGCAAGAGCTGATCCTGTTGCCAATGCAGTTACTGCCACAACGCACCGGACACCGCCGCTTTCTCCTCCCCGTGTGGGCGTTTTTCCGTCGACCAACTTACAAGCGCAGCAATTTGTAACGAGGATGGCAATGCAGGGGAACATAAGGGTTTCTCCTAGAAAAGAACGGATGATTGTGGAGCAGCAGCAGCAGCAGCAGCAGCAGTTAGGAGCGGTGTCAGCGAGTGGTCAACCGATGAATGAGACTCAAAGCTTATCAGGTAATGTGCAGCTTCAACATTTGCAGCTTGCTGTGCAGCAGCAGCAGCGGCAGCAGCAGCAGCAGCAGCAGCAGCAGCAGCAGCAGCAGCAGCAGCAGCAGCAGCAGCAGCAGCAGCAGCAGCAGCAGCAGCAGCAGCAGCAGCAGCAGCAGCAGCAGCAGCAGCAGCAGCAGCAGCAGCAGCAGCAGCAGCAGCAGCAGCAGCAGCAGCAGCAGCAGCAGCAGCAGCAGCAGCAGCAGCAGCAGCAGCAGCAGCAGCAGCAGCAGCAGCAGCAGCAGCAGCAGCAGCAGCAGCAGCAGCAGCAGCAGCAGCAGCAGCAGCAGCAGCAGCAGCAGCAGCAGCAGCAGCAGCAGCAGCAGCAGCAGCAGCAGCAGCAGCAGCAGCAGCAGCAGCAGCAGCAGCAGCAGCAGCAGCAGCAGCAGCAGCAGCAGCAGCAGCAGCAGCAGCAGCAGCAGCAGCAGCAGCAGCAGCAGCAGCAGCAGCAGCAGCAGCAGCAGCAGCAGCAGCAGCAGCAGCAGCAGCAGCAGCAGCAGCAGCAGCAGCAGCAGCAGCAGCAGCAGCAGCAGCAGCAGCAGCAGCAGCAGCAGCAGCAGCAGCAGCAGCAGCAGCAGCAGCAGCAGCAGCAGCAGCAGCAGCAGCAGCAGCAGCAGCAGCAGCAGCAGCAGCAGCAGCAGCAGCAGCAGCAGCAGCAGCAGCAGCAGCAGCAGCAGCAGCAGCAGCAGCAGCAGCAGCAGCAGCAGCAGCAGCAGCAGCAGCAGCAGCAGCAGCAGCAGCAGCAGCAGCAGCAGCAGCAGCAGCAGCAGCAGCAGCAGCAGCAGCAGCAGCAGCAGCAGCAGCAGCAGCAGCAGCAGCAGCAGCAGCAGCAGCAGCAGCAGCAGCAGCAGCAGCAGCAGCAGCAGCAGCAGCAGCAGCAGCAGCAGCAGCAGCAGCAGCAGCAGCAGCAGCAGCAGCAGCAGCAGCAGCAGCAGCAGCAGCAGCAGCAGCAGCAGCAGCAGCAGCAGCAGCAGCAGCAGCAGCAGCAGCAGCAGCAGCAGCAGCAGCAGCAGCAGCAGCAGCAGCAGCAGCAGCAGCAGCAGCAGCAGCAGCAGCAGCAGCAGCAGCAGCAGCAGCAGCAGCAGCAGCAGCAGCAGCAGCAGCAGCAGCAGCAGCAGCAGCAGCAGCAGCAGCAGCAGCAGCAGCAGCAGCAGCAGCAGCAGCAGCAGCAGCAGCAGCAGCAGCAGCAGCAGCAGCAGCAGCAGCAGCAGCAGCAGCAGCAGCAGCAGCAGCAGCAGCAGCAGCAGCAGCAGCAGCAGCAGCAGCAGCAGCAGCAGCAGCAGCAGCAGCAGCAGCAGCAGCAGCAGCAGCAGCAGCAGCAGCAGCAGCAGCAGCAGCAGCAGCAGCAGCAGCAGCAGCAGCAGCAGCAGCAGCAGCAGCAGCAGCAGCAGCAGCAGCAGCAGCAGCAGCAGCAGCAGCAGCAGCAGCAGCAGCAGCAGCAGCAGCAGCAGCAGCAGCAGCAGCAGCAGCAGCAGCAGCAGCAGCAGCAGCAGCAGCAGCAGCAGCAGCAGCAGCAGCAGCAGCAGCAGCAGCAGCAGCAGCAGCAGCAGCAGCAGCAGCAGCAGCAGCAGCAGCAGCAGCAGCAGCAGCAGCAGCAGCAGCAGCAGCAGCAGCAGCAGCAGCAGCAGCAGCAGCAGCAGCAGCAGCAGCAGCAGCAGCAGCAGCAGCAGCAGCAGCAGCAGCAGCAGCAGCAGCAGCAGCAGCAGCAGCAGCAGCAGCAGCAGCAGCAGCAGCAGCAGCAGCAGCAGCAGCAGCAGCAGCAGCAGCAGCAGCAGCAGCAGCAGCAGCAGCAGCAGCAGCAGCAGCAGCAGCAGCAGCAGCAGCAGCAGCAGCAGCAGCAGCAGCAGCAGCAGCAGCAGCAGCAGCAGCAGCAGCAGCAGCAGCAGCAGCAGCAGCAGCAGCAGCAGCAGCAGCAGCAGCAGCAGCAGCAGCAGCAGCAGCAGCAGCAGCAGCAGCAGCAGCAGCAGCAGCAGCAGCAGCAGCAGCAGCAGCAGCAGCAGCAGCAGCAGCAGCAGCAGCAGCAGCAGCAGCAGCAGCAGCAGCAGCAGCAGCAGCAGCAGCAGCAGCAGCAGCAGCAGCAGCAGCAGCAGCAGCAGCAGCAGCAGCAGCAGCAGCAGCAGCAGCAGCAGCAGCAGCAGCAGCAGCAGCAGCAGCAGCAGCAGCAGCAGCAGCAGCAGCAGCAGCAGCAGCAGCAGCAGCAGCAGCAGCAGCAGCAGCAGCAGCAGCAGCAGCAGCAGCAGCAGCAGCAGCAGCAGCAGCAGCAGCAGCAGCAGCAGCAGCAGCAGCAGCAGCAGCAGCAGCAGCAGCAGCAGCAGCAGCAGCAGCAGCAGCAGCAGCAGCAGCAGCAGCAGCAGCAGCAGCAGCAGCAGCAGCAGCAGCAGCAGCAGCAGCAGCAGCAGCAGCAGCAGCAGCAGCAGCAGCAGCAGCAGCAGCAGCAGCAGCAGCAGCAGCAGCAGCAGCAGCAGCAGCAGCAGCAGCAGCAGCAGCAGCAGCAGCAGCAGCAGCAGCAGCAGCAGCAGCAGCAGCAGCAGCAGCAGCAGCAGCAGCAGCAGCAGCAGCAGCAGCAGCAGCAGCAGCAGCAGCAGCAGCAGCAGCAGCAGCAGCAGCAGCAGCAGCAGCAGCAGCAGCAGCAGCAGCAGCAGCAGCAGCAGCAGCAGCAGCAGCAGCAGCAGCAGCAGCAGCAGCAGCAGCAGCAGCAGCAGCAGCAGCAGCAGCAGCAGCAGCAGCAGCAGCAGCAGCAGCAGCAGCAGCAGCAGCAGCAGCAGCAGCAGCAGCAGCAGCAGCAGCAGCAGCAGCAGCAGCAGCAGCAGCAGCAGCAGCAGCAGCAGCAGCAGCAGCAGCAGCAGCAGCAGCAGCAGCAGCAGCAGCAGCAGCAGCAGCAGCAGCAGCAGCAGCAGCAGCAGCAGCAGCAGCAGCAGCAGCAGCAGCAGCAGCAGCAGCAGCAGCAGCAGCAGCAGCAGCAGCAGCAGCAGCAGCAGCAGCAGCAGCAGCAGCAGCAGCAGCAGCAGCAGCAGCAGCAGCAGCAGCAGCAGCAGCAGCAGCAGCAGCAGCAGCAGCAGCAGCAGCAGCAGCAGCAGCAGCAGCAGCAGCAGCAGCAGCAGCAGCAGCAGCAGCAGCAGCAGCAGCAGCAGCAGCAGCAGCAGCAGCAGCAGCAGCAGCAGCAGCAGCAGCAGCAGCAGCAGCAGCAGCAGCAGCAGCAGCAGCAGCAGCAGCAGCAGCAGCAGCAGCAGCAGCAGCAGCAGCAGCAGCAGCAGCAGCAGCAGCAGCAGCAGCAGCAGCAGCAGCAGCAGCAGCAGCAGCAGCAGCAGCAGCAGCAGCAGCAGCAGCAGCAGCAGCAGCAGCAGCAGCAGCAGCAGCAGCAGCAGCAGCAGCAGCAGCAGCAGCAGCAGCAGCAGCAGCAGCAGCAGCAGCAGCAGCAGCAGCAGCAGCAGCAGCAGCAGCAGCAGCAGCAGCAGCAGCAGCAGCAGCAGCAGCAGCAGCAGCAGCAGCAGCAGCAGCAGCAGCAGCAGCAGCAGCAGCAGCAGCAGCAGCAGCAGCAGCAGCAGCAGCAGCAGCAGCAGCAGCAGCAGCAGCAGCAGCAGCAGCAGCAGCAGCAGCAGCAGCAGCAGCAGCAGCAGCAGCAGCAGCAGCAGCAGCAGCAGCAGCAGCAGCAGCAGCAGCAGCAGCAGCAGCAGCAGCAGCAGCAGCAGCAGCAGCAGCAGCAGCAGCAGCAGCAGCAGCAGCAGCAGCAGCAGCAGCAGCAGCAGCAGCAGCAGCAGCAGCAGCAGCAGCAGCAGCAGCAGCAGCAGCAGCAGCAGCAGCAGCAGCAGCAGCAGCAGCAGCAGCAGCAGCAGCAGCAGCAGCAGCAGCAGCAGCAGCAGCAGCAGCAGCAGCAGCAGCAGCAGCAGCAGCAGCAGCAGCAGCAGCAGCAGCAGCAGCAGCAGCAGCAGCAGCAGCAGCAGCAGCAGCAGCAGCAGCAGCAGCAGCAGCAGCAGCAGCAGCAGCAGCAGCAGCAGCAGCAGCAGCAGCAGCAGCAGCAGCAGCAGCAGCAGCAGCAGCAGCAGCAGCAGCAGCAGCAGCAGCAGCAGCAGCAGCAGCAGCAGCAGCAGCAGCAGCAGCAGCAGCAGCAGCAGCAGCAGCAGCAGCAGCAGCAGCAGCAGCAGCAGCAGCAGCAGCAGCAGCAGCAGCAGCAGCAGCAGCAGCAGCAGCAGCAGCAGCAGCAGCAGCAGCAGCAGCAGCAGCAGCAGCAGCAGCAGCAGCAGCAGCAGCAGCAGCAGCAGCAGCAGCAGCAGCAGCAGCAGCAGCAGCAGCAGCAGCAGCAGCAGCAGCAGCAGCAGCAGCAGCAGCAGCAGCAAGCAGCAGCAGCAGCAGCAGCAGCAGCAGCAGCAGCAGCAGCAGCAGCAGCAGCAGCAGCAGCAGCAGCAGCAGCAGCAGCAGCAGCAGCAGCAGCAGCAGCAGCAGCAGCAGCAGCAGCAGCAGCAGCAGCAGCAGCAGCAGCAGCAGCAGCAGCAGCAGCAGCAGCAGCAGCAGCAGCAGCAGCAGCAGCAGCAGCAGCAGCAGCAGCAGCAGCAGCAGCAGCAGCAGCAGCAGCAGCAGCAGCAGCAGCAGCAGCAGCAGCAGCAGCAGCAGCAGCAGCAGCAGCAGCAGCAGCAGCAGCAGCAGCAGCAGCAGCAGCAGCAGCAGCAGCAGCAGCAGCAGCAGCAGCAGCAGCAGCAGCAGCAGCAGCAGCAGCAGCAGCAGCAGCAGCAGCAGCAGCAGCAGCAGCAGCAGCAGCAGCAGCAGCAGCAGCAGCAGCAGCAGCAGCAGCAGCAGCAGCAGCAGCAGCAGCAGCAGCAGCAGCAGCAGCAGCAGCAGCAGCAGCAGCAGCAGCAGCAGCAGCAGCAGCAGCAGCAGCAGCAGCAGCAGCAGCAGCAGCAGCAGCAGCAGCAGCAGCAGCAGCAGCAGCAGCAGCAGCAGCAGCAGCAGCAGCAGCAGCAGCAGCAGCAGCAGCAGCAGCAGCAGCAGCAGCAGCAGCAGCAGCAGCAGCAGCAGCAGCAGCAGCAGCAGCAGCAGCAGCAGCAGCAGCAGCAGCAGCAGCAGCAGCAGCAGCAGCAGCAGCAGCAGCAGCAGCAGCAGCAGCAGCAGCAGCAGCAGCAGCAGCAGCAGCAGCAGCAGCAGCAGCAGCAGCAGCAGCAGCAGCAGCAGCAGCAGCAGCAGCAGCAGCAGCAGCAGCAGCAGCAGCAGCAGCAGCAGCAGCAGCAGCAGCAGCAGCAGCAGCAGCAGCAGCAGCAGCAGCAGCAGCAGCAGCAGCAGCAGCAGCAGCAGCAGCAGCAGCAGCAGCAGCAGCAGCAGCAGCAGCAGCAGCAGCAGCAGCAGCAGCAGCAGCAGCAGCAGCAGCAGCAGCAGCAGCAGCAGCAGCAGCAGCAGCAGCAGCAGCAGCAGCAGCAGCAGCAGCAGCAGCAGCAGCAGCAGCAGCAGCAGCAGCAGCAGCAGCAGCAGCAGCAGCAGCAGCAGCAGCAGCAGCAGCAGCAGCAGCAGCAGCAGCAGCAGCAGCAGCAGCAGCAGCAGCAGCAGCAGCAGCAGCAGCAGCAGCAGCAGCAGCAGCAGCAGCAGCAGCAGCAGCAGCAGCAGCAGCAGCAGCAGCAGCAGCAGCAGCAGCAGCAGCAGCAGCAGCAGCAGCAGCAGCAGCAGCAGCAGCAGCAGCAGCAGCAGCAGCAGCAGCAGCAGCAGCAGCAGCAGCAGCAGCAGCAGCAGCAGCAGCAGCAGCAGCAGCAGCAGCAGCAGCAGCAGCAGCAGCAGCAGCAGCAGCAGCAGCAGCAGCAGCAGCAGCAGCAGCAGCAGCAGCAGCAGCAGCAGCAGCAGCAGCAGCAGCAGCAGCAGCAGCAGCAGCAGCAGCAGCAGCAGCAGCAGCAGCAGCAGCAGCAGCAGCAGCAGCAGCAGCAGCAGCAGCAGCAGCAGCAGCAGCAGCAGCAGCAGCAGCAGCAGCAGCAGCAGCAGCAGCACAGCAGCAGCAGCAGCAGCAGCAGCAGCAGCAGCAGCAGCAGCAGCAGCAGCAGCAGCAGCAGCAGCAGCAGCAGCAGCAGCAGCAGCAGCAGCAGCAGCAGCAGCAGCAGCAGCAGCAGCAGCAGCAGCAGCAGCAGCAGCAGCAGCAGCAGCAGCAGCAGCAGCAGCAGCAGCAGCAGCAGCAGCAGCAGCAGCAGCAGCAGCAGCAGCAGCAGCAGCAGCAGCAGCAGCAGCAGCAGCAGCAGCAGCAGCAGCAGCAGCAGCAGCAGCAGCAGCAGCAGCAGCAGCAGCAGCAGCAGCAGCAGCAGCAGCAGCAGCAGCAGCAGCAGCAGCAGCAGCAGCAGCAGCAGCAGCAGCAGCAGCAGCAGCAGCAGCAGCAGCAGCAGCAGCAGCAGCAGCAGCAGCAGCAGCAGCAGCAGCAGCAGCAGCAGCAGCAGCAGCAGCAGCAGCAGCAGCAGCAGCAGCAGCAGCAGCAGCAGCAGCAGCAGCAGCAGCAGCAGCAGCAGCAGCAGCAGCAGCAGCAGCAGCAGCAGCAGCAGCAGCAGCAGCAGCAGCAGCAGCAGCAGCAGCAGCAGCAGCAGCAGCAGCAGCAGCAGCAGCAGCAGCAGCAGCAGCAGCAGCAGCAGCAGCAGCAGCAGCAGCAGCAGCAGCAGCAGCAGCAGCAGCAGCAGCAGCAGCAGCAGCAGCAGCAGCAGCAGCAGCAGCAGCAGCAGCAGCAGCAGCAGCAGCAGCAGCAGCAGCAGCAGCAGCAGCAGCAGCAGCAGCAGCAGCAGCAGCAGCAGCAGCAGCAGCAGCAGCAGCAGCAGCAGCAGCAGCAGCAGCAGCAGCAGCAGCAGCAGCAGCAGCAGCAGCAGCAGCAGCAGCAGCAGCAGCAGCAGCAGCAGCAGCAGCAGCAGCAGCAGCAGCAGCAGCAGCAGCAGCAGCAGCAGCAGCAGCAGCACAGCAGCAGCAGCAGCAGCAGCAGCAGCAGCAGCAGCAGCAGCAGCAGCAGCAGCAGCAGCAGCAGCAGCAGCAGCAGCAGCAGCAGCAGCAGCAGCAGCAGCAGCAGCAGCAGCAGCAGCAGCAGCAGCAGCAGCAGCAGCAGCAGCAGCAGCAGCAGCAGCAGCAGCAGCAGCAGCAGCAGCAGCAGCAGCAGCAGCAGCAGCAGCAGCAGCAGCAGCAGCAGCAGCAGCAGCAGCAGCAGCAGCAGCAGCAGCAGCAGCAGCAGCAGCAGCAGCAGCAGCAGCAGCAGCAGCAGCAGCAGCAGCAGCAGCAGCAGCAGCAGCAGCAGCAGCAGCAGCAGCAGCAGCAGCAGCAGCAGCAGCAGCAGCAGCAGCAGCAGCAGCAGCAGCAGCAGCAGCAGCAGCAGCAGCAGCAGCAGCAGCAGCAGCAGCAGCAGCAGCAGCAGCAGCAGCAGCAGCAGCAGCAGCAGCAGCAGCAGCAGCAGCAGCAGCAGCAGCAGCAGCAGCAGCAGCAGCAGCAGCAGCAGCAGCAGCAGCAGCAGCAGCAGCAGCAGCAGCAGCAGCACAGCAGCAGCAGCAGCAGCAGCAGCAGCAGCAGCAGCAGCAGCAGCAGCAGCAGCAGCAGCAGCAGCAGCAGCAGCAGCAGCAGCAGCAGCAGCAGCAGCAGCAGCAGCAGCAGCAGCAGCAGCAGCAGCAGCAGCAGCAGCAGCAGCAGCAGCAGCAGCAGCAGCAGCAGCAGCAGCAGCAGCAGCAGCAGCAGCAGCAGCAGCAGCAGCAGCAGCAGCAGCAGCAGCAGCAGCAGCAGCAGCAGCAGCAGCAGCAGCAGCAGCAGCAGCAGCAGCAGCAGCAGCAGCAGCAGCAGCAGCAGCAGCAGCAGCAGCAGCAGCAGCAGCAGCAGCAGCAGCAGCAGCAGCAGCAGCAGCAGCAGCAGCAGCAGCAGCAGCAGCAGCAGCAGCAGCAGCAGCAGCAGCAGCAGCAGCAGCAGCAGCAGCAGCAGCAGCAGCAGCAGCAGCAGCAGCAGCAGCAGCAGCAGCAGCAGCAGCAGCAGCAGCAGCAGCAGCAGCAGCAGCAGCAGCAGCAGCAGCAGCAGCAGCAGCAGCAGCAGCAGCAGCAGCAGCAGCAGCAGCAGCAGCAGCAGCAGCAGCAGCAGCAGCAGCAGCAGCAGCAGCAGCAGCAGCAGCAGCAGCAGCAGCAGCAGCAGCAGCAGCAGCAGCAGCAGCAGCAGCAGCAGCAGCAGCAGCAGCAGCAGCAGCAGCAGCAGCAGCAGCAGCAGCAGCAGCAGCAGCAGCAGCAGCAGCAGCAGCAGCAGCAGCAGCAGCAGCAGCAGCAGCAGCAGCAGCAGCAGCAGCAGCAGCAGCAGCAGCAGCAGCAGCAGCAGCAGCAGCAGCAGCAGCAGCAGCAGCAGCAGCAGCAGCAGCAGCAGCAGCAGCAGCAGCAGCAGCAGCAGCAGCAGCAGCAGCAGCAGCAGCAGCAGCAGCAGCAGCAGCAGCAGCAGCAGCAGCAGCAGCAGCAGCAGCAGCAGCAGCAGCAGCAGCAGCAGCAGCAGCAGCAGCAGCAGCAGCAGCAGCAGCAGCAGCAGCAGCAGCAGCAGCAGCAGCAGCAGCAGCAGCAGCAGCAGCAGCAGCAGCAGCAGCAGCAGCAGCAGCAGCAGCAGCAGCAGCAGCAGCAGCAGCAGCAGCAGCAGCAGCAGCAGCAGCAGCAGCAGCAGCAGCAGCAGCAGCAGCAGCAGCAGCAGCAGCAGCAGCAGCAGCAGCAGCACAGCAGCAGCAGCAGCAGCAGCAGCAGCAGCAGCAGCAGCAGCAGCAGCAGCAGCAGCAGCAGCAGCAGCAGCAGCAGCAGCAGCAGCAGCAGCAGCAGCAGCAGCAGCAGCAGCAGCAGCAGCAGCAGCAGCAGCAGCAGCAGCAGCAGCAGCAGCAGCAGCAGCAGCAGCAGCAGCAGCAGCAGCAGCAGCAGCAGCAGCAGCAGCAGCAGCAGCAGCAGCAGCAGCAGCAGCAGCAGCAGCAGCAGCAGCAGCAGCAGCAGCAGCAGCAGCAGCAGCAGCAGCAGCAGCAGCAGCAGCAGCAGCAGCAGCAGCAGCAGCAGCAGCAGCAGCAGCAGCACAGCAGCAGCAGCAGCAGCAGCAGCAGCAGCAGCAGCAGCAGCAGCAGCAGCAGCAGCAGCAGCAGCAGCAGCAGCAGCAGCAGCAGCAGCAGCAGCAGCAGCAGCAGCAGCAGCAGCAGCAGCAGCAGCAGCAGCAGCAGCAGCAGCAGCAGCAGCAGCAGCAGCAGCAGCAGCAGCAGCAGCAGCAGCAGCAGCAGCAGCAGCAGCAGCAGCAGCAGCAGCAGCAGCAGCAGCAGCAGCAGCAGCAGCAGCAGCAGCAGCAGCAGCAGCAGCAGCAGCAGCAGCAGCAGCAGCAGCAGCAGCAGCAGCAGCAGCAGCAGCAGCAGCAGCAGCAGCAGCAGCAGCAGCAGCAGCAGCAGCAGCAGCAGCAGCAGCAGCAGCAGCAGCAGCAGCAGCAGCAGCAGCAGCAGCAGCAGCAGCAGCAGCAGCAGCAGCAGCAGCAGCAGCAGCAGCAGCAGCAGCAGCAGCAGCAGCAGCAGCAGCAGCAGCAGCAGCAGCAGCAGCAGCAGCAGCAGCAGCAGCAGCAGCAGCAGCAGCAGCAGCAGCAGCAGCAGCAGCAGCAGCAGCAGCAGCAGCAGCAGCAGCAGCAGCAGCAGCAGCAGCAGCAGCAGCAGCAGCAGCAGCAGCAGCAGCAGCAGCAGCAGCAGCAGCAGCAGCAGCAGCAGCAGCAGCAGCAGCAGCAGCAGCAGCAGCAGCAGCAGCAGCAGCAGCAGCAGCAGCAGCAGCAGCAGCAGCAGCAGCAGCAGCAGCAGCAGCAGCAGCAGCAGCAGCAGCAGCAGCAGCAGCAGCAGCAGCAGCAGCAGCAGCAGCAGCAGCAGCAGCAGCAGCAGCAGCAGCAGCAGCAGCAGCAGCAGCAGCAGCAGCAGCAGCAGCAGCAGCAGCAGCAGCAGCAGCAGCAGCAGCAGCAGCAGCAGCAGCAGCAGCAGCAGCAGCAGCAGCAGCAGCAGCAGCAGCAGCAGCAGCAGCAGCAGCAGCAGCAGCAGCAGCAGCAGCAGCAGCAGCAGCAGCAGCAGCAGCAGCAGCAGCAGCAGCAGCAGCAGCAGCAGCAGCAGCAGCAGCAGCAGCAGCAGCAGCAGCAGCAGCAGCAGCAGCAGCAGCAGCAGCAGCAGCAGCAGCAGCAGCAGCAGCAGCAGCAGCAGCAGCAGCAGCAGCAGCAGCAGCAGCAGCAGCAGCAGCAGCAGCAGCAGCAGCAGCAGCAGCAGCAGCAGCAGCAGCAGCAGCAGCAGCAGCAGCAGCAGCAGCAGCAGCAGCAGCAGCAGCAGCAGCAGCAGCAGCAGCAGCAGCAGCAGCAGCAGCAGCAGCAGCAGCAGCAGCAGCAGCAGCAGCAGCAGCAGCAGCAGCAGCAGCAGCAGCAGCAGCAGCAGCAGCAGCAGCAGCAGCAGCAGCAGCAGCAGCAGCAGCAGCAGCAGCAGCAGCAGCAGCAGCAGCAGCAGCAGCAGCAGCAGCAGCAGCAGCAGCACAGCAGCAGCAGCAGCAGCAGCAGCAGCAGCAGCAGCAGCAGCAGCAGCAGCAGCAGCAGCAGCAGCAGCAGCAGCAGCAGCAGCAGCAGCAGCAGCAGCAGCAGCAGCAGCAGCAGCAGCAGCAGCAGCAGCAGCAGCAGCAGCAGCAGCAGCAGCAGCAGCAGCAGCAGCAGCAGCAGCAGCAGCAGCAGCAGCAGCAGCAGCAGCAGCAGCAGCAGCAGCAGCAGCAGCAGCAGCAGCAGCAGCAGCAGCAGCAGCAGCAGCAGCAGCAGCAGCAGCAGCAGCAGCAGCAGCAGCAGCAGCAGCAGCAGCAGCAGCAGCAGCAGCAGCAGCAGCAGCAGCAGCAGCAGCAGCAGCAGCAGCAGCAGCAGCAGCAGCAGCAGCAGCAGCAGCAGCAGCAGCAGCAGCAGCAGCAGCAGCAGCAGCAGCAGCAGCAGCAGCAGCAGCAGCAGCAGCAGCAGCAGCAGCAGCAGCAGCAGCAGCAGCAGCAGCAGCAGCAGCAGCAGCAGCAGCAGCAGCAGCAGCAGCAGCAGCAGCAGCAGCAGCAGCAGCAGCAGCAGCAGCAGCAGCAGCAGCAGCAGCAGCAGCAGCAGCAGCAGCAGCAGCAGCAGCAGCAGCAGCAGCAGCAGCAGCAGCAGCAGCAGCAGCAGCAGCAGCAGCAGCAGCAGCACAGCAGCAGCAGCAGCAGCAGCAGCAGCAGCAGCAGCAGCAGCAGCAGCAGCAGCAGCAGCAGCAGCAGCAGCAGCAGCAGCAGCAGCAGCAGCAGCAGCAGCAGCAGCAGCAGCAGCAGCAGCAGCAGCAGCAGCAGCAGCAGCAGCAGCAGCAGCAGCAGCAGCAGCAGCAGCAGCAGCAGCAGCAGCAGCAGCAGCAGCAGCAGCAGCAGCAGCAGCAGCAGCAGCAGCAGCAGCAGCAGCAGCAGCAGCAGCAGCAGCAGCAGCAGCAGCAGCAGCAGCAGCAGCAGCAGCAGCAGCAGCAGCAGCAGCAGCAGCAGCAGCAGCAGCAGCAGCAGCAGCAGCAGCAGCAGCAGCAGCAGCAGCAGCAGCAGCAGCAGCAGCAGCAGCAGCAGCAGCAGCAGCAGCAGCAGCAGCAGCAGCAGCAGCAGCAGCAGCAGCAGCAGCAGCAGCAGCAGCAGCAGCAGCAGCAGCAGCAGCAGCAGCAGCAGCAGCAGCAGCAGCAGCAGCAGCAGCAGCAGCAGCAGCAGCAGCAGCAGCAGCAGCAGCAGCAGCAGCAGCAGCAGCAGCAGCAGCAGCAGCAGCAGCAGCAGCAGCAGCAGCAGCAGCAGCAGCAGCAGCAGCAGCAGCAGCAGCAGCAGCAGCAGCAGCAGCAGCAGCAGCAGCAGCAGCAGCAGCAGCAGCAGCAGCAGCAGCAGCAGCAGCAGCAGCAGCAGCAGCAGCAGCAGCAGCAGCAGCAGCAGCAGCAGCAGCAGCAGCAGCAGCAGCAGCAGCAGCAGCAGCAGCAGCAGCAGCAGCAGCAGCAGCAGCAGCAGCAGCAGCAGCAGCAGCAGCAGCAGCAGCAGCAGCAGCAGCAGCAGCAGCAGCAGCAGCAGCAGCAGCAGCAGCAGCAGCAGCAGCAGCAGCAGCAGCAGCAGCAGCAGCAGCAGCAGCAGCAGCAGCAGCAGCAGCAGCAGCAGCAGCAGCAGCAGCAGCAGCAGCAGCAGCAGCAGCAGCAGCAGCAGCAGCAGCAGCAGCAGCAGCAGCAGCAGCAGCAGCAGCAGCAGCAGCAGCAGCAGCAGCAGCAGCAGCAGCAGCAGCAGCAGCAGCAGCAGCAGCAGCAGCAGCAGCAGCAGCAGCAGCAGCAGCAGCAGCAGCAGCAGCAGCAGCAGCAGCAGCAGCAGCAGCAGCAGCAGCAGCAGCAGCAGCAGCAGCAGCAGCAGCAGCAGCAGCAGCAGCAGCAGCAGCAGCAGCAGCAGCAGCAGCAGCAGCAGCAGCAGCAGCAGCAGCAGCAGCAGCAGCAGCAGCAGCAGCAGCAGCAGCAGCAGCAGCAGCAGCAGCAGCAGCAGCAGCAGCAGCAGCAGCAGCAGCAGCAGCAGCAGCAGCAGCAGCAGCAGCAGCAGCAGCAGCAGCAGCAGCAGCAGCAGCAGCAGCAGCAGCAGCAGCAGCAGCAGCAGCAGCAGCAGCAGCAGCAGCAGCAGCAGCAGCAGCAGCAGCAGCAGCAGCAGCAGCAGCAGCAGCAGCAGCAGCAGCAGCAGCAGCAGCAGCAGCAGCAGCAGCAGCAGCAGCAGCAGCAGCAGCAGCAGCAGCAGCAGCAGCAGCAGCAGCAGCAGCAGCAGCAGCAGCAGCAGCAGCAGCAGCAGCAGCAGCAGCAGCAGCAGCAGCAGCAGCAGCAGCAGCAGCAGCAGCAGCAGCAGCAGCAGCAGCAGCAGCAGCAGCAGCAGCAGCAGCAGCAGCAGCAGCAGCAGCAGCAGCAGCAGCAGCAGCAGCAGCAGCAGCAGCAGCAGCAGCAGCAGCAGCAGCAGCAGCAGCAGCAGCAGCAGCAGCAGCAGCAGCAGCAGCAGCAGCAGCAGCAGCAGCAGCAGCAGCAGCAGCAGCAGCAGCAGCAGCAGCAGCAGCAGCAGCAGCAGCAGCAGCAGCAGCAGCAGCAGCAGCAGCAGCAGCAGCAGCAGCAGCAGCAGCAGCAGCAGCAGCAGCAGCAGCAGCAGCAGCAGCAGCAGCAGCAGCAGCAGCAGCAGCAGCAGCAGCAGCAGCAGCAGCAGCAGCAGCAGCAGCAGCAGCAGGAGCAGGCAGCAGCAGCAGCAGCAGCAGCAGCAGCAGCAGCAGCAGCAGCAGCAGCAGCAGCAGCAGCAGCAGCAGCAGCTAGCCTGGGAAACCCTTCCACCCTCATCCCCTTTCTATGTCCGCACCTACTCATGCCCCTGTGTTGCACCGGAGCTCTCTTAGGCTGATTTCAGCTTAGCCTGGGAAACCCTTCCACCCTCATCCCCTTTCTATGTCCGCACCTACTCATGCCCCTGTGTTGCACCGGAGCTCTCTTTGGCTGATTCAGCTTAGCCTGGGAAACCCTTCCACCCTCATCCCCTTTCTATGTCCGCACCTACTCATGCCCCTGTGTTGCACCGGAGCTCTCTTTGGCTGATTTCAGCTTAGCCTGGGAAACCCTTCCACCCTCATCCCCTTTCTATGTCCGCACCTACTCATGCCCCTGTGTTGCACCGGAGCTCTCTTAGGCTGATTTCAGCTTAGCCTGGGAAACCCTTCCACCCTCATCCCCTTTCTATGTCCGCACCTACTCATGCCCCAGTGTTGCACCGGAGCTCTCTTTGGCTGATTTCAGCTTAGCCTGGGAAACCCTTCCACCCTCATCCCCTTTCTATGTCCGCACCTACTCATGCCCCTGTGTTGCACCGGAGCTCTCTTAGGCTGATTTCAGCTTAGCCTGGGAAACCCTTCCACCCTCATCCCCTTTCTATGTCCGCACCTACTCATGCCCCTGTGTTGCACCGGAGCTCTCTTAGGCTGATTTCAGCTTAGCCTGGGAAACCCTTCCACCCTCATCCCCTTTCTATGTCCGCACCTACTCATGCCCCTGTGTTGCACCGGAGCTCTCTTAGGCTGATTTCAGCTTAGCCTGGGAAACCCTTCCACCCTCATCCCCTTTCTATGTCCGCACCTACTCATGCCCCTGTGTTGCACCGGAGCTCTCTTAGGCTGATTTCAGCTTAGCCTGGGAAACCCTTCCACCCTCATCCCCTTTCTATGTCCGCACCTACTCATGCCCCTGTGTTGCACCGGAGCTCTCTTAGGCTGATTTCAGCTTAGCCTGGGAAACCCTTCCACCCTCATCCCCTTTCTATGTCCGCACCTACTCATGCCCCTGTGTTGCACCGGAGCTCTCTTAGGCTGATTTCAGCTTAGCCTGGGAAACCCTTCCACCCTCATCCCCTTTCTATGTCCGCACCTACTCATGCCCCTGTGTTGCACCGGAGCTCTCTTTGGCTGATTTCAGCTTAGCCTGGGAAACCCTTCCACCCTCATCCCCTTTCTATGTCCGCACCTACTCATGCCCCTGTGTTGCACCGGAGCTCTCTTAGGCTGATTTCAGCTTAGCCTGGGAAACCCTTCCACCCTCATCCCCTTTCTATGTCCGCACCTACTCATGCCCCTGTGTTGCACCGGAGCTCTCTTAGGCTGATTTCAGCTTAGCCTGGGAAACCCTTCCACCCTCATCCCCTTTCTATGTCCGCACCTACTCATGCCCCTGTGTTGCACCGGAGCTCTCTTTGGCTGATTTCAGCTTAGCCTGGGAAACCCTTCCACCCTCATCCCCTTTCTATGTCCGCACCTACTCATGCCCCTGTGTTGCACCGGAGCTCTCTTAGGCTGATTTCAGCTTAGCCTGGGAAACCCTTCCACCCTCATCCCCTTTCTATGTCCGCACCTACTCATGCCCCTGTGTTGCACCGGAGCTCTCTTAGGCTGATTTCAGCTTAGCCTGGGAAACCCTTCCACCCTCATCCCCTTTCTATGTCCGCACCTACTCATGCCCCTGTGTTGCACCGGAGCTCTCTTTGGCTGATTTCAGCTTAGCCTGGGAAACCCTTCCACCCTCATCCCCTTTCTATGTCCGCACCTACTCATGCCCCTGTGTTGCACCGGAGCTCTCTTTGGCTGATTTCAGCTTAGCCTGGGAAACCCTTCCACCCTCATCCCCTTTCTATGTCCGCACCTACTCATGCCCCTGTGTTGCACCGGAGCTCTCTTAGGCTGATTTCAGCTTAGCCTGGGAAACCCTTCCACCCTCATCCCCTTTCTATGTCCGCACCTACTCATGCCCCTGTGTTGCACCGGAGCTCTCTTAGGCTGATTTCAGCTTAGCCTGGGAAACCCTTCCACCCTCATCCCCTTTCTATGTCCGCACCTACTCATGCCCCTGTGTTGCACCGGAGCTCTCTTAGGCTGATTTCAGCTTAGCCTGGGAAACCCTTCCACCCTCATCCCCTTTCTATGTCCGCACCTACTCATGCCCCAGTGTTGCACCGGAGCTCTCTTAGGCTGATTTCAGCTTAGCCTGGGAAACCCTTCCACCCTCATCCCCTTTCTATGTCCGCACCTACTCATGCCCCTGTGTTGCACCGGAGCTCTCTTAGGCTGATTTCAGCTTAGCCTGGGAAACCCTTCCACCCTCATCCCCTTTCTATGTCCGCACCTACTCATGCCCCTGTGTTGCACCGGAGCTCTCTTAGGCTGATTTCAGCTTAGCCTGGGAAACCCTTCCACCCTCATCCCCTTTCTATGTCCGCACCTACTCATGCCCCTGTGTTGCACCGGAGCTCTCTTAGGCTGATTTCAGCTTAGCCTGGGAAACCCTTCCACCCTCATCCCCTTTCTATGTCCGCACCTACTCATGCCCCTGTGTTGCACCGGAGCTCTCTTAGGCTGATTTCAGCTTAGCCTGGGAAACCCTTCCACCCTCATCCCCTTTCTATGTCCGCACCTACTCATGCCCCTGTGTTGCACCGGAGCTCTCTTAGGCTGATTTCAGCTTAGCCTGGGAAACCCTTCCACCCTCATCCCCTTTCTATGTCCGCACCTACTCATGCCCCTGTGTTGCACCGGAGCTCTCTTAGGCTGATTTCAGCTTAGCCTGGGAAACCCTTCCACCCTCATCCCCTTTCTATGTCCGCACCTACTCATGCCCCTGTGTTGCACCGGAGCTCTCTTTGGCTGATTTCAGCTTAGCCTGGGAAACCCTTCCACCCTCATCCCCTTTCTATGTCCGCACCTACTCATGCCCCTGTGTTGCACCGGAGCTCTCTTAGGCTGATTTCAGCTTAGCCTGGGAAACCCTTCCACCCTCATCCCCTTTCTATGTCCGCACCTACTCATGCCCCTGTGTTGCACCGGAGCTCTCTTAGGCTGATTTCAGCTTAGCCTGGGAAACCCTTCCACCCTCATCCCCTTTCTATGTCCGCACCTACTCATGCCCCTGTGTTGCACCGGAGCTCTCTTTGGCTGATTTCAGCTTAGCCTGGGAAACCCTTCCACCCTCATCCCCTTTCTATGTCCGCACCTACTCATGCCCCTGTGTTGCACCGGAGCTCTCTTAGGCTGATTTCAGCTTAGCCTGGGAAACCCTTCCACCCTCATCCCCTTTCTATGTCCGCACCTACTCATGCCCCTGTGTTGCACCGGAGCTCTCTTAGGCTGATTTCAGCTTAGCCTGGGAAACCCTTCCACCCTCATCCCCTTTCTATGTCCGCACCTACTCATGCCCCTGTGTTGCACCGGAGCTCTCTTAGGCTGATTTCAGCTTAGCCTGGGAAACCCTTCCACCCTCATCCCCTTTCTATGTCCGCACCTACTCATGCCCCTGTGTTGCACCGGAGCTCTCTTAGGCTGATTTCAGCTTAGCCTGGGAAACCCTTCCACCCTCATCCCCTTTCTATGTCCGCACCTACTCATGCCCCTGTGTTGCACCGGAGCTCTCTTAGGCTGATTTCAGCTTAGCCTGGGAAACCCTTCCACCCTCATCCCCTTTCTATGTCCGCACCTACTCATGCCCCTGTGTTGCACCGGAGCTCTCTTAGGCTGATTTCAGCTTAGCCTGGGAAACCCTTCCACCCTCATCCCCTTTCTATGTCCGCACCTACTCATGCCCCTGTGTTGCACCGGAGCTCTCTTAGGCTGATTTCAGCTTAGCCTGGGAAACCCTTCCACCCTCATCCCCTTTCTATGTCCGCACCTACTCATGCCCCTGTGTTGCACCGGAGCTCTCTTAGGCTGATTTCAGCTTAGCCTGGGAGACCCTTCCACCCTCATCCCCTTTCTATGTCCGCACCTACTCATGCCCCTGTGTTGCACCGGAGCTCTCTTAGGCTGATTTCAGCTTAGCCTGGGAAACCCTTCCACCCTCATCCCCTTTCTATGTCCGCACCTACTCATGCCCCTGTGTTGCACCGGAGCTCTCTTTGGCTGATTTCAGCTTAGCCTGGGAAACCCTTCCACCCTCATCCCCTTTCTATGTCCGCACCTACTCATGCCCCTGTGTTGCACCGGAGCTCTCTTTGGCTGATTTCAGCTTAGCCTGGGAAACCCTTCCACCCTCATCCCCTTTCTATGTCCGCACCTACTCATGCCCCTGTGTTGCACCGGAGCTCTCTTTGGCTGATTTCAGCTTAGCCTGGGAAACCCTTCCACCCTCATCCCCTTTCTATGTCCGCACCTACTCATGCCCCTGTGTTGCACCGGAGCTCTCTTTGGCTGATTTCAGCTTAGCCTGGGAAACCCTTCCACCCTCATCCCCTTTCTATGTCCGCACCTACTCATGCCCCTGTGTTGCACCGGAGCTCTCTTTGGCTGATTTCAGCTTAGCCTGGGAAACCCTTCCACCCTCATCCCCTTTCTATGTCCGCACCTACTCATGCCCCTGTGTTGCACCGGAGCTCTCTTTGGCTGATTTCAGCTTAGCCTGGGAAACCCTTCCACCCTCATCCCCTTCCTATGTCCGTACCTACTAATGCCCCTGTCCTTTGCACTTGGCGTTTGCCCTATGATTCTGTGTTATACGCCTTAATACTATATTGATAAATTGATCACACATGTTTTTCCTTCACCTGCTCTATGGGCACTCAAGTCTCTACCAACCTGCCTCTCTGCTCTCGGCCTTAGCCCTGCATCACCTGGGCTTTTGCGTGGGCCAGGAAACCATTATAGAATCCCGTGTTATACGCCTCACTACTACACTGATCAGACATGTTTCTCCTTCACCTGCTCTATGGGCACTGAAGAACCTGTCAAATAGTAGATATAGAAGATAGGGACATACCATAGGAAGCTAGGACGAGGACGAGATTGAAAGGAAGGAAGTGTCAATAAGAAAAGGGGTAAAAGTGAGAGCAAGAGCAAGATGTGAACCACCAGCAAAGATTGCAACACTAAACTACATCTACAGCTCCAGGCAGTAACTATACATATATATGAAATCTATATTCTGACAAACCCTACTATTAACATGCCTCTCCTCCGTTCTTGGCCTTAGCCCTACATCACCTGGGCTTGTGCGTGGGCCAATCAGTCGTTCTGAAAGTCCTCGTTATACACCTCACTGCTACTTCATCAAATCAGACTACTCTTTCCTTCTCCTAGACGTGCCTTTCATCTGCTCTTTGCTTTCCCCCGCAGCACCGGGGCTTTTGCATGCAGCAGACAGCCGTTCTGACAGTCCTCGTTTTACACCTCACTGTTACTACATCAATTCAGACTACTCTTTCCTTCTCTTAGGCGTTCTGGAATGGTACTGCTTCTCCCTGCTCCTTGCATTTTCCCTGCACCACCTGCGAGTATCTCCCACAGCCACTGATACCTACACTAATCCACAATCGTCATCCACAAGGTGTTTTTGAGAATTCTCAAAAACACCCTGCTGCACCACCGGCGAGTATCTCCCACGGCCACTGATACCTACACTAATCCACAATCGTCATCCACAATCCCACATCTAATACCCCACCCACTCACCATTTTAACCCACCCGGCAATCCCCCAATCTCTCTATGTATGGATATGATCTTCACATCGCCCATACCCATACTGTTTGAAGGATCTATATGGTGGGTGTATTTATGCCGGCATAATGGCGGAATCATTCAGCCTTCTAAAGCTGACAAGAGCGACAGGCGTTTTCTCTGTGAGTTAACGGCATATACTTTGAAAATTGCTATTCAATATCGAATGGCTCCTATCCGTAGCTCTACACAATGCATTGCAGCAACCAATTCATTGCATGGTCGGCTAACAATGTCTAAAAGCACGGCACCACTTTCTTGCAACTTGTGCTGCTGCTGCTGCTGCTAGCTGCAACAGGGCTTTCAGTTTGAGTGGCTGCATGGCCCTATGCATGACCTGATCGCCTAGCAATGTCTGAAGGCACTCTTTCACTTCCTTGCAATTCGCGCTGCTGCTGGTGGTGCTGCTGCTGGTTCTGGAACAGGGGCTTCAGTTCTCTCCAGCACATATACATCGACTCGAATACCCTGGATGTAATCACGAGAAGAAGAAGAAGAAAAAACATAGAGTAAATGGTGTGATGTTGAATTATTGTTACGATGCATGATGAATGCCATTCCCCTCACCATCCACTCACCCCCCTCGTCCATCCCTTTCCCCTCCCCCACCACCCCTCTCACCTCTCACTCCCAACCCCCTGACCTTCCTCCCCCACCACCCCCCTCACCTCCATCTCAACAGCCAGTCGCAGCTTCTCCCGCAGACACACAACAGCCAGCCCCTCAACAGCAATCCTCACGAGTCACGCCCCTTTCTTTACCATTCCCCTTTTCTGAGGCGCCAATCAGGCAACGAACTTGCTTCCCTCCCTCCCCCCACTCCCCCTCCCCTTCCCCTCACCTCCATCTCCACAGCCAGTCGCTGCTTCTGCCGCAGACACACAACAGCCAGCCCCTCAACAGCTGCCCTCACGAGTCACGAGTCACACCCCGTCCTTTAACTGTGCCCTCACTTGTCACCCCCCCCTCCTTCCCTTCCCCCTCACCTCCATCTCAACAGCTGCCCCAACGAGTCACGAGTCACACCCCGTCCTTTAACTGTGCCTTTTCTGCAGAGTGCAAGGAGCCTTTGAGGCAACTCACCTGCTCCCCCTCCCCCCTCACCTCCATCTCAACGGCCAGTCGCTGCTTTTCCCGCAGGCACACAGCCAGGCCCTCAACAGCTGCCCTCACGCCCCTCCCCACCGCCATTAGCACTGCCAGTCCTGCAGGGAGAGGAGACAGGTGAAGGAGACAGTGGGGGAAGGAGGGGGGAAGGGGCAAGGGGGAGACAGGGGGTGGGGAGATGGGGGAAGACACACAGCCAGGCCCTCAACAGCTGCCCTCACGCCCCTGCCCACCGCCATCAGCACTGCCAGTCCTGCAGGGGGGAGAGATAGGGTTAGGGGAGATGAGGGGCAGCAGGTGAACCAGCAGCGGCAAGTGCAGCAGACAGACACACGGCCAGTCCTTCAACGGCTGCCCTCACGCCCCTCCCCATTGCCATCAGCACTGCCACTCCTGCAGTGGGGGAGGAAAGAGGCGAGTGGGGAGACACAGAAGAGGACAAGCAGGGGTGGGAGGACGTAGTGGGTGGGCCAGCAGCTAGTGCAGCAGACAGACACACAGCCAGACCCTGCGTATGTATTTTGAGAATTCTAAAAAAACATAGGGAGGTCGTAGTGGGTGGGCCAGCAGCAAGTGGAGACAGACAGACACACAGCCGGACCCTCAACAGCTGCCCTCACGCCCCTCCCCACCGCCATCAGCACTGCCACTCCTGCAGGGAGCAGGGAGACAAAGGGGGTAGATAGGGGGTGGGGATGTAGCAATTGCTTCTCCCGCAGGCACACAGCCAGACCCTCAACAGCTGCCCTCACGCCCCTCCCCACCGCCATCAGCACTGCCACTCCTGCACGGAGCAGGAGGACAAAGGAGAGCGGGACATGAAAAGGGGGAGATAGGCGGTGGGGATGTAGCAATTGCTTCTCTTGCAGACACACACTCAGGCCCTCAACGGCTGCCCTCACGCCCCTCCCCACCGCCATCAGCACTGCCACTCCTGCAGGGGGGGGAGGAGTAACAGGCAGGAGGATTAATCAGGGGGACTTGCAGTCTCTTTTCCAGCAGAATGGTTCATCAGAAATGAGGGGGTTAGCAGCTGGCTGATTACTTACCAGTGACCAGCAGTGAGCAGCAGTGACCAGCAGTGACCAGCAATGAGCAGCAGTGACCAGCAGTGACCAGCAGTGAGCAGCAATGAGCAGCAGTGACCAGCAGTGACCAGCAGTGACCAGCAGTGAGCAGCAGTGACCAGCAGTGACCAGCAATGAGCAGCAGTGACCAGCAGTGACCAGCAGTGACCAGCAGTGACCAGCAGTGACCAGCAGTGACCAGCAGTGACCAGCAGTGACCAGCAGTGAGCAGCAGTGAGCAGCAGTGAGCAGCAGTGAGCAGCAGTGAGCAGCAGTGACCAGTAGTGATTACTTACTAGGTTATTACATGTGCGCGTGACAAGATGAGAACGTACCAGTGCCTGGAGTCAGCACACGTGCGACCTGAAAGTGTTTTGGGCAGGGAAAAGGAAAGGGTAATTAGCCACTGTATTTGATCATGGAGAGAGTAAAAAAAATGGGGAAGGGGGGGTCGTGCTGGGAGGAGAGGAGCAAGAAGAAAAATCTGAAGAACCTAATTTCGGGTAGAGAGACGACTTTAGAGGCGCCTCAAGAGGCGCCTCAAAAACAAGAAGAGAAATATGCAAGAACCTTGCTCTCAAACTGAGAAAACGGGTAGAAAGCAGCAAGCTCGGTTTGACCAACCAGAGATGACTAATCTGAGAAATCTGCAAGAACCTTATTTCTGAGCAAGAATGGCTTGTTCCACCTGCTACCCTCATATCCCTCCCCTCCCCCTTCCCTCCTCCTTCCCTCCCCCACCCCCTTCCTCCCCTTCCCTTCCCCTTTCCTTCCCCTCCTCCCTCTCCCCTCTCACACACACACCTGCCGGATCACTGCAGGGCACAGCCTCTCCCTCATCTCCACCCACTACCTTCATATCGCGAATTTCCCTGTTATTCTCCCCCCTCACCCCTTTCCCCTTTCCCTCATGTCCACCCACTGCCCTCATATCGCCAATTTCCCCTGTTCTTCTCCACCCTCACCCCTTCCCCCTCCTCCCCCCCCTCCTCTCGCTCCCCCTTCCCCTCACACACACACCTGCAAGATCACTCCAGCGCACACCCTCTCCCTCATCTCCACCCACTGCCCTCATATCGCCAATCTCCCCTGTTCTTCTCCCCCCTCAACCCCTCCGTTTTCACCTCCTTTCCCTCCTCTCCTCCTCCTTCCCCACTCCTCCCCATTCCCTCTCGCACACACACCTGCCGGATCACTGCAGGGCACAGCCTCTCCCTCATCTCCACCCACTACCTTCATATCGCGAATTTCCCTGTTATTCTCCCCCCTCACCCCTTTCCCCTTTCCCTCATGTCCACCCACTGCCCTCATATCGCCAATTTCCCCTGTTCTTCTCCACCCTCACCCCTTCCCCCTCCTCCCCCCCCCCTCTCGCTCCCCCTTCCCCTCACACACACACCTGCAAGATCACTCCAGCGCACACCCTCTCCCTCATCTCCAACCACTGCCCTCATATCGCCAATTTCCCTGTTATTCTCCCCCCCTCACCCCCTCCTTTTCCCCCTCCTTTCCCCCCTCCTTCCCCCATTCCCTCCCCACCTCTCTCACACACACCTGCCGGATCACTGCAGGGCACAGCCTCTCCCTCATCTTGAAGTTTCCTGGAAGCAGCAGATGCAGAGCGCACAGAACACAGGCAGAGGAGATGGAGGGGGGGGCTTGAAAGCAAGGTAGGGGTGGAGGTAGGGTTGAGCAAAGAAACGAACAGGTTTTTTTTTTAGCTTAAAGTGTTCGTGACAAACGTGTTCGAGGTTCGCCCGAACACGCCTTCACAGGCGAACACCAAACACCCTTTTTTGGGAAAGCCATTCGGCGAACCGAACAGTGTTCGGTTCGCCGAACGGCCATGTTAGTGCAAGGCCATGTTCGCCGAACGGCCATGTTCGTGCAAGGGCGAACGCGAACATGTTCGCGTTCGCCCTTTGCTCAAGCCTAGGTGGAGGGGTAGATACTTTTTATCTTTAGGCGCCAAGGGCATGCCACAGAGCACCCTATCCACACACGGACGTCCCAGCTAAGCACCTCCACCTCTTCTCACCACCCTTCACCGCTTTTCACCGCACTGCACTGTTCTTAGTGAAGCACTCACCACACCGCACCCCAAAGGGCATGTCACAGAGCACTCGATCCACACAGCCAGTCCGCAGAGGCAGCGCAGAGGCGTCCCAGACCAGCCAATCACAGCCTGCCACGTGTCCCCCTTGGCTCCTCCTTGCTGCATCCCCATTTGCTATAGCCATTCCCAAGGTGCTGCTATTGGCTGTTGCGGTTCTCAATGCGATGCTATTGGCTGCTGCGGTTCTCAAGGCGATGCCATTGGTTGCAGCAGCATCAACAGCCCCTGCGTCTTTATCCCCTCCAAACGCACTGATTCGGCTTTTCAACCAATCAGCAGCCTCCAAGGGGAGAGTCCCACAGCCACACCTGAAGGGGGGTTGAACGAAGGGGTTTGGTGTGGTGAGACGCGGTACGGAGGGATACGGACTCATCAACAGTCACAGCGTCTTTATCCCCGCTGAATGCACTAATGCACTAACTCGGTTCTGCAGCCAATCCCCACTCACATAGAATCGAGCACGATGTGGCAGGGGTGGATGTCTGCCAGTTGCCGGAGGGCGAAGGCCAACAGGTCTTTCACATACAGGTGTGGTCCCTGCAATGAGGATGTCTATAACGAGTATGCCTATAGCTCAATAACGCATACAGAAACCTCACATGGGGTCGAGCACGATGTGGCCGGGGTGGATGTCCGCCACTTGCAGGAGGGCGGAGGCAAGGCCTTGGACTCACAGGTGTGTTTTCTGCAACTCAATAGTGAGAGTGCTTTCACTACACCTACACCTTACATGGGATCGAGTACGATGTGGCCGGGATGGATGTCCACCAGTTGCAGGAGGGCGAATGCAAACATGCCCGTCAATGATTGACAGGTGTATTCCCTGCAGCTCTATAACGAGGATGTCTACAGCTCAATAACGAGTGCGTCTTATAACGAGTACGGTGCCTTACATGGGGTCGAGTACGATGTGACCGGGGCGGATGTCGGCCAGTAGCAGGAGGGCGTAGGCCGTGCTGAGGAGGGGGGAATAAAGGGGCAGAGGGGGGAGGAGACGAGAGGGGGGAGGAGACGAGAGGAGGGAGGTGGGGAGGTGGGGAGGTGGGGCGGTGCAAGCACGGATATAAGCCAGATGCAGGAGGGCGAACGCAGTGCTTGGAAAGGAATAAACGAAAGGGGAGAGGAGAGGTGGAAGGGGAGGATGAACAGTGGGGAGAGCAGAAAGGCACAACCTGGGCTTGAGTTCAGGAGCGTCTTGAAACCCGTGTGTAAGAAGACGGCTTTTGAGGCGCCTCAAATAGCACCTCAATGCACACGGAATTCAGACGCCTTTTTAGACGTCTCAACTCAACAACAGGGGGTATTGTGGGAATTCAAACAGGCGGCAAAGAGACGCACCTGGGCTTGAGGGACGTTGGGACGAGGGCCTTGCGATAGGCGCGGGAGGAGTAGAGCTGGGGGGAGATGGGGGAGGACGGGGAAAAGGGCAGGCGGAGGGGATTTGGGAGGGGAGGGGAGGGGAGGGGGAGCGGGAAGGGGAAGGGTGACGTGGGGACAAGGGCCTTGCGATAGGCGCGAGAGGAGTAGAGCTGGGGGAAGGTGGGGGGAGGAACAGGGATGGAAAGATGGGGGGGAAGGGAATGGGCAGAGTTGACATGGGAGAAATGAGGGCCTTGCGGTAGGCGCAAGAGGAGTAGAGCTGGGGGATGGGGAGAGGGGAAAGGGCAAAAAGGGAGTGGGAAAGGTGGAGGAGGAAGGGGAAGGGAATGTGCAGGGATGACATGGGAAGGATGGGGGCCTTGCGATAGGTGCGAGAGGAGTAGAGCTGGGGGATGAGGAGGAGGGGGGGAGGAGGAGGAGCGAGTGAGATGAACAGCAGCAGCAGTAGCACCATCTGCCTCTCACCCACCTGCCTCTCTCACCCACCCACCTGTCTCCCACCCACTCGTCTCTCTGAGTTGTGTGATCTCGCTTTCACCTTGAACTGCCCTCGCCCCTCCCCTTTCTCCCCCGCCTTCAGCTCACTTCAGTTCCAAATTTGCCTGACTGTAAGAGATTTCTGTCTCTCCCTTACTCACCTGTCTCTCCGAGTTGTGTGATCTCGCCTGAACTGCCCTTCCCGCTTTCTTGCTCGCATTCTTCTTGCCCTCCCTGCTGCTGCTGCCACCCTTGACCACACCCTCCCGGACTGCAGCGCTGTTCAAGCCAAACACACCTATCTGTTCCGCACCCACCTGTCTGCCTCATACCCACCTGTCTCTCCGCGTTGTGTGATCTCGCCTGAACTGCCCTTCCCGCTTTCTTGCTCGCATTCTTCTGGCCCTCCCTGCTGCTGCTGCCACCCTTGACCACACCCTCCCGGACTGCAGCGCTGTTCAAGCCAAACACACCTGTCTGTTCCGCACCCACCTGTCTGCCTCATACCCACCTGTCTCTCCGCGTTGTGTGATCTCGCCTGAACTGCCCTTCCCGCTTTCTTGCTCGCATTCTTCTGGCCCTCCCTGCTGCTGCTGCCACCCTTGACCACACCCTCCCGGACTGCAGCGCTGTTCAAGCCAAACACACCTGTCTGTTCCGCACCCACCTGTCTGCCTCATACCCACCTGTCTCTCCGCGTTGTGTGATCTCGCCTGAACTGCCCTTCCTGCTTTCTTGCTCGCATTCTTCTGGCCCTCCCTGCTGCTGCTGCCACCCTTGACCACACCCTCCCGGACTGCAGCGCTGTTCAAGCCAAACACACCTGTCTGTTCCGCACCCACCTGTCTGCCTCATACCCACCTGTCTCTCCGCGTTGTGTGATCTCGCCTGAACTGCCCTTCCCGCTTTCTTGCTCGCATTCTTCTTGCCCTCCCTGCTGCTGCTGCCACCCTTGACCACACCCTCCCGGACTGCACCGCTGTTCGAGCCAAACACACCTGTCTGTTCCGCACCCACCTGTCTGCCTCATACCCACCTGTCTCTCGGCGTTGTGTGATCTCGCCTGAACTGCCCTTCCCGCTTTCTTGCTCGCATTCTTCTGGCCCTCCCTGCTGCTGCTGCCACCCTTGACCACACCCTCCCGGACTGCAGCGCTGTTCGAGCCAAACACACCTGTCTGTTCCGCACCCACCTGTCTGCCTCATACCCACCTGTCTCTCCGCGTTGTGTGATCTCGCCTGAACTGCCCTTCCCGCTTTCTTGCTCGCATTCTTCTTGCCCTCCCTGCTGCTGCTGCCACCCTTGACCACACCCTCCCGGACTGCACCGCTGTTCGAGCCAAACACACCTGTCTGTTCCGCACCCACCTGTCTGCCTCATACCCACCTGTCTCTCCGCGTTGTGTGATCTCGCCTGAACTGCCCTTCCCGCTTTCTTGCTCGCATTCTTCTGGCCCTCCCTGCTGCTGCTGCCACCCTTGACCACACCCTCCCGGACTGCAGCGCTGTTCGAGCCAAACACACCTGTCTGTTCCGCACCCACCTGTCTGCCTCATACCCACGTGTCTCTCCGCGTTGTGTGATCTCGCCTGAACTGCCCTTCCCGCTTTCTTGCTCGCATTCTTCTGGCCCTCCCTGCTGCTGCTGCCACCCTTGACCACACCCTCCCGGACTGCAGCGCTGTTCAAGCCAAACACACCTGTCTGTTCCGCACCCACCTGTCTGCCTCATACCCACCTGTCTCTCCGCGTTGTGTGATCTCGCCTGAACTGCCCTTCCCGCTTTCTTGCTCGCATTCTTCTGGCCCTCCCTGCTGCTGCTGCCACCCTTGACCACACCCTCCCGGACTGCACCGCTGTTCGAGCCAAACACACCTGTCTGTTCCGCACCCACCTGTCTGCCTCATACCCACCTGTCTCTCCGCGTTGTGTGATCTCGCCTGAACTGCCCTTCCCGCTTTCTTGCTCGCATTCTTCTTGCCCTCCCTGCTGCTGCTGCCACCCTTGACCACACCCTCCCGGACTGCACCGCTGTTCGAGCCAAACACACCTGTCTGTTCCGCACCCACCTGTCTGCCTCATACCCACCTGTCTCTCCGCGTTGTGTGATCTCGCCTGAACTGCCCTTCCCGCTTTCTTGCTCGCATTCTTCTGGCCCTCCCTGCTGCTGCTGCCACCCTTGACCACACCCTCCCGGACTGCAGCGCTGTTCGAGCCAAACACACCTGTCTGTTCCGCACCCACCTGTCTGCCTCATACCCACGTGTCTCTCCGCGTTGTGTGATCTCGCCTGAACTGCCCTTCCCGCTTTCTTGCTCGCATTCTTCTGGCCCTCCCTGCTGCTGCTGCCACCCTTGACCACACCCTCCCGGACTGCAGCGCTGTTCAAGCCAAACACACCTGTCTGTTCCGCACCCACCTGTCTGCCTCATACCCACCTGTCTCTCCGCGTTGTGTGATCTCGCCTGAACTGCCCTTCCCGCTTTCTTGCTCGCATTCTTCTGGCCCTCCCTGCTGCTGCTGCCACCCTTGACCACACCCTCCCGGACTGCACCGCTGTTCGAGCCAAACACACCTGTCTGTTCCGCACCCACCTGTCTGCCTCATACCCACCTGTCTCTCCGCGTTGTGTGATCTCGCCTGAACTGCCCTTCCCGCTTTCTTGCTCGCATTCTTCTGGCCCTCCCTGCTGCTGCTGCCACCCTTGACCACACCCTCCCGGACTGCAGCGCTGTTCGAGCCAAACACACCTGTCTGTTCCGCACCCACCTGTCTGCCTCATACCCACGTGTCTCTCCGCGTTGTGTGATCTCGCCTGAACTGCCCTTCCCGCTTTCTTGCTCGCATTCTTCTGGCCCTCCCTGCTGCTGCTGCCACCCTTGACCACACCCTCCCGGACTGCAGCGCTGTTCAAGCCAAACACACCTGTCTGTTCCGCACCCACCTGTCTGCCTCATACCCACCTGTCTCTCCGCGTTGTGTGATCTCGCCTGAACTGCCCTTCCCGCTTTCTTGCTCGCATTCTTCTGGCCCTCCCTGCTGCTGCTGCCACCCTTGACCACACCCTCCCGGACTGCAGCGCTGTTCGAGCCAAACACACCTGTCTGTTCCGCACCCACCTGTCTGCCTCATACCCACGTGTCTCTCCGCGTTGTGTGATCTCGCCTGAACTGCCCTTCCCGCTTTCTTGCTCGCATTCTTCTGGCCCTCCCTGCTGCTGCTGCCACCCTTGACCACACCCTCCCGGACTGCAGCGCTGTTCAAGCCAAACACACCTGTCTGTTCCGCACCCACCTGTCTGCCTCATACCCACCTGTCTCTCCGCGTTGTGTGATCTCGCCTGAACTGCCCTTCCCGCTTTCTTGCTCGCATTCTTCTGGCCCTCCCTGCTGCTGCTGCCACCCTTGACCACACCCTCCCGGACTGCAGCGCTGTTCAAGCCAAACACACCTGTCTGTTCCGCACCCACCTGTCTGCCTCATACCCACCTGTCTCTCCGCGTTGTGTGATCTCGCCTGAACTGCCCTTCCCGCTTTCTTGCTCGCATTCTTCTTGCCCTCCCTGCTGCTGCTGCCACCCTTGACCACACCCTCCCGGACTGCAGCGCTGTTCGAGCCAAACACACCTGTCTGTTCCGCACCCACCTGTCTGCCTCATACCCACCTGTCTCTCCGCGTTGTGTGATCTCGCCTGAACTGCCCTTCCCGCTTTCTTGCTCGCATTCTTCTTGCCCTCCCTGCTGCTGCTGCCACCCTTGACCACACCCTCCCGGACTGCAGCGCTGTTCAAGCCAAACACACCTGTCTGTTCCGCACCCACCTGTCTGCCTCATACCCACCTGTCTCTCCGCGTTGTGTGATCTCGCCTGAACTGCCCTTCCCGCTTTCTTGCTCGCATTCTTCTGGCCCTCCCTGCTGCTGCTGCCACCCTTGACCACACCCTCCCGGACTGCACCGCTGTTCGAGCCAAACACACCTGTCTGTTCCGCACCCACCTGTCTGCCTCATACCCACCTGTCTCTCCGCGTTGTGTGATCTCGCCTGAACTGCCCTTCCCGCTTTCTTGCTCGCATTCTTCTGGCCCTCCCTGCTGCTGCTGCCACCCTTGACCACACCCTCCCGGACTGCAGCGCTGTTCGAGCCAAACACACCTGTCTGTTCCGCACCCACCTGTCTGCCTCATACCCACGTGTCTCTCCGCGTTGTGTGATCTCGCCTGAACTGCCCTTCCCGCTTTCTTGCTCGCATTCTTCTGGCCCTCCCTGCTGCTGCTGCCACCCTTGACCACACCCTCCCGGACTGCAGCGCTGTTCAAGCCAAACACACCTGTCTGTTCCGCACCCACCTGTCTGCCTCATACCCACCTGTCTCTCCGCGTTGTGTGATCTCGCCTGAACTGCCCTTCCCGCTTTCTTGCTCGCATTCTTCTGGCCCTCCCTGCTGCTGCTGCCACCCTTGACCACACCCTCCCGGACTGCAGCGCTGTTCAAGCCAAACACACCTGTCTGTTCCGCACCCACCTGTCTGCCTCATACCCACCTGTCTCTCCGCGTTGTGTGATCTCGCCTGAACTGCCCTTCCCGCTTTCTTGCTCGCATTCTTCTGGCCCTCCCTGCTGCTGCTGCCACCCTTGACCACACCCTCCCGGACTGCACCGCTGTTCGAGCCAAACACACCTGTCTGTTCCGCACCCACCTGTCTGCCTCATACCCACCTGTCTCTCCGCGTTGTGTGATCTCGCCTGAACTGCCCTTCCCGCTTTCTTGCTCGCATTCTTCTGGCCCTCCCTGCTGCTGCTGCCACCCTTGACCACACCCTCCCGGACTGCAGCGCTGTTCGAGCCAAACACACCTGTCTGTTCCGCACCCACCTGTCTGCCTCATACCCACGTGTCTCTCCGCGTTGTGTGATCTCGCCTGAACTGCCCTTCCCGCTTTCTTGCTCGCATTCTTCTGGCCCTCCCTGCTGCTGCTGCCACCC